GTTGTGTATACCCTAGCTATAAGGGTATATATGGCCCAGAAATTTGGGCCTCAAGATATTCCCCCCAAGCAATAAGATAAAGCTATGGCGACCGAAAGTGGTTTCTCTTTTTTCAGTGATCATAAACCCGCGCCTTGTTTGAAAGAAATGCATTTCCAGAGGCTCCTCTGAATCTCTGATCATTATGTTTGGAAGAAAAGTAGAGAACATATTTCAGTTTTACCTAAAGCTCAAACAACTAAGAATTGGGTTGTTGTAGATGGAATTTACGGTTTCACGTATGTTCTTAGTTGAGGTTGCAATTTTGTGACGAATATATATAGCTCGATTTCAAGCTCAGTTAGTTCAATTATTTTTTTACTGTATTTTGACTTTTATCTTATAGATTTATACGCATATCTAATGTTTATACAAATTATCATTGTGAAATAGTCGGAGAGAGAACTTATTCCAAAACGTAATTTACCATGTACTAACTGGTAGTTAGTTTAATTTGGTCTCTTAATCACGAGACTCATTGTTTGAACCCATACATATGCATTTCATGATCTCGTGATCACCAATATGATCTATCTCAATTAATTTTCTTAATTGTCGGCGGGAATTCCAACACGAGAACATTTCATTGAATGAATCCAATGTAGTTCCGGGAAGTTTGGGGTTAATTGCAAGATTGGTCACTAGGTTTACTAAAAACGTTCATGTTTGGTCACTAAAAATATTTAATTCCATTTATAGTCACTAAAATTAGTTCAATAGTTCAAATTTGGTCACTCTTCATTAGTTTTTGCTGATGTGGCAGTCAACTATTTTAGTTGACCGTTAAATGAGTGACGTGGCCATTAAAAAAATATTAAAATAATAAAATTTAAACATTTACATTTTTCACCTCATTTTACAACTATTAAAAAATAAAAATAAAACTCAATTCCTATTATTCTATAATGGTAGCGAACAACAATAACTGCCAAGAGACCCATCAAAAAAAAAAAAAAAAAACAATAACTGCCAAGAGAAAGAGATTTCCAGTTCAGACGAACTCGGCAAGACATAGGCGAGACGGAGGTAGAAGGCCCCTGCGCGGGTGACGGAGACGGCGGCCACCGACGTTTCATCTTCCTTTCCCCCGATTCCACTGTCGCCCAGCGGCTCCTTTATATATCAGTGTTTCTCTGTTCGGTTTGGAGCCGTTCAGATAAAGTATTGTGGTTGTCGACGATTTATTCATTCCAATGAGGTTATCTCTCGCTTGGCAATTTGGGATTCCGTCCCACCACAGGAAAGCAAATTAGGAACCAATTAGCCGTGCCGGCACCGACCCGTTTCTTTAATCCTTTTCCTTTCGAGAGTCATAATTCCAAAGGCGAAGGATGAGGAATGAAACAGAGTAGTGCCACTGCTCTCCACAAATACCACAAACCCCCCTCGACGCTCATTCCAATCAATATCCATCCAACAGTTGAAAAACTGAAAGCCTTGCTAAGAGATGAGCCGCAATTGCAAAACAGCCCCAAATTGGTAGTTTTGCTTCCGGCGTGGAGGTGATGGAAGAGATGAAAGGGTAGGTTAAGGTTTAGGTGTTTATAGAATAATAGGAATTAAGTTTTATTTTTATTTTTTAATAGTTGTAAAATGATGTGAAAATTGTAAATGTTAAAATTTTATTATTTTAATATTTTTTAATGGTCACGTCAGTCATTTAACGGTCAACTATAATAGTTGATTGGCACATCATCAAATACTAACGGAGACTAACGGAGAGTGACCAAATTTGAACTATTAAACTAATCTTAGTGACCATAAATGAAATTAAATATTTGCAGTGACCAAACAGGAACGTTTTTAGTAAACCCAGTGACCAACATTGCAATTAACCCGGAAGTTTGAGGCAAGCCCTAGATGCATGCATGTTACAATAGCACGGGACTAGACAAAAGGCGGTAAAAACTGAGAGTAGGGCATGCGTATTTTTGTACCATTCATAAATTATTTTGTTCATCGACAGAAATATCGATACGACTCAATAATTTGTGTTTAATTGGACTGCCCTTCTTTCAATTGCATAATTAAGTATCATGTGTAAAGTATAACTTATAGAATCGATGTTTACACTAACTTATTATACAAATATTTTAAATTAGGTTATAGGTATAATATACTTTTTTATTATGCATTTTTATTAAATACGTTTTTTTACTATTTTTTTTATATCAAACATATTCCTTATTTTCAAATAATTATATAAAAAAATTCATCAGAAAATCATCAACCATGGCGGAACCGTGGGTTGGATGACCTAGCCGTGGGAAAATGGTAGGGAAAATATCAATTATACTCCTTCACTTGTTTTTCTATGTCTTGTTAAAATAAAATTATTATGAGTATTCGGCTATACAAAAGAAACAAAGGAATGTCGCATAGTGATTTTTTTTATAACAGTGAAATGCATTAAAATGATTAAGGATATTTGAGACGAAAAATTGATTCTAAACATGCATGATGACTGATTGTTAACTAGAGTCTTCTATAACCGAAAGGTTAACATTTAATTCTTACTTCTGTTAATGATTTCCAATACCAACGCTTGACTAATTAACTACCCATTTGACCTAGATTTTTTGTTTGAGGAAACTTGTAAGCTAGCTACGAAATAATACAGATCCAAAGTTGGAAAACTTCTATTCATGTGCGCATGCCTTGATGAATGGTCCGCGTTAGCCGTTAGGTCACTAGCTGTGAAGGGGACGACTTGTGGGCTTGTGGGCTAGCTGGGCTTTGGCCGGGGAATATTTTCATGTGTAACTGGATGCCTCTATTACAACAAGGCAGGCAACAAGCTCCGGTCATTGTAACGACGACGACGACGACCCTTTTGTCGCCCGGTCACTTTCGCCGACCGTCGTCTTTTCCTTTTTATTTTGACGGCTTCTACAAAACCCTAGCAAGAAACAAAGCTTGATAGATACGTTACCGTTTCGTTATGTCAATCCCGCCCCTCCAGTAGATGCTGGGGACGGAGATCGATCGACGTCAATGATAATACGGTCCCTTTTTTTTGTGTGGTTATATTTAAGAACTTGGAAATTTAGTATTTTTAAAAAAAAAAAAATTGGAGTTGACACCATGGATATCGTAATGCAGTTATCTGGGAACTGATATTTTTAGTGCAGCGTAAGCTTATGGGACAATTTTTTCTTTATTCAATTAACTCCATTGACGTTAATATAGTGTAATACACGCAACAATATTCCGTTAGATTCTCCGTTTAAAATATCTATTAATATTTGCTGCACTAATTAATTTGGTATAGACGTATCAGATTAATTAAGGTGTTGTAGGCTTGTAGCCTGTAGGTCTAAGCAAGATAGATAATTTATTTTTTAGCTCCAATCTTGTAGCCCATATAGGGGTAAGCAGTCCGATCCGTGTAATTCAGCCTGTTATGGGCTTTGGCCCGTAATTCTTCCTCTTCGTTGATAGAGCCGGAAAAAACCCGAGATATAGTAGTAAGTTTGTAGACAAATAAATTATCGAGAAAAGAGTATGTTTTGTCACTAATGGGTGATTCTAAAAATGTTTTGAGAAGTAAAATAACACGAAACAAATGAAAATTATTTATAAATAAGTATATCTTAATCCACTTTAAAATAGTCTCATCATAGGATACGACGCTTCGCTATTATTGACAACATGTGTCGAATAATCAAGAAGGAATCTCCCACAAAACTTTGTACCTTTCATATTAATCGTATCTTTGTTTTTTATAGAGGAAATGTGATATTTAGTTGAGTATCTCTAAATCAACCGATTATCATAACTCTAATTTGAAGATATTAATATTAATAAATCCATCAACCATCTAAATAATGAAGCGATTACATATCATGATGTAGCTAGCTTTATAGCGTGTCAGGTGCTTCTAGCCAGGCTGTATAGTATAGGGGCATTGAGCAAGCTTTTAATTATTCTCATAGTCTTCAGATTCTGTTCGCCATTGCACCATCATCAGCAAGAGAATGATTTGGTTAATATACAACTATATATAAGCTGACGATTATCTAATATATGATGTATAACCGTGTAACCACTTCATTGAATTTAAATCTATCCCTAACTTATAGATTCTGTTCATTCCCATCTTTCTGAAAATCGATATTAGTCGTAGATAGAAATCGAAGTCCAACAAATGGTTAGGGTACATCACAGGGGAAAATAACTCTTGTATGTTAGTGTCCACCCTATTTTAATTAGTACGCGGGATCTTCTGGAGAGAATACCCAGAAATAAATTCATCATACGGATTCGACCTGATGCGAACAATATCGTACTAATAAAACTATCCAATTCCTACAAATTTTACTTCGCAACGAACTATTGTTGGGAATGTGGTTTCTAACAACTATATATCACGAAGACTTGTTGGATTGAGACTTGAAGGCATGAACCTCACACTAGCTCTCTCTCTCTCTCCCTCTCTAGCTAGCTGGATCATGATTCTTCAAGGGTGTAGGAGTCATGAAATAGCTCGATCGATCGACCACCTCTCTTTTCAACCAAATTAAGACTAATTAATCTTTATCATTTTCCCCCTTCTTCCCACATGCATCATCCGGCCGTGATTAATATTAATATAAAACGAATAAGTATTAGTCTAGTGATAATACCACTAGCCATGAACCTGGAGGTACCAGGTTCAAATCCCTTCAGTAGTACCTAATAAAAAATAAAAAAAACTATATCACCCTTAATTAAAAAAAATATATTAATATAAACAAAGAAGTCAAATATCAACAAGACGCAAATAATAACTAACAAATCCAATCCCCCAATCTGGGATTAGAAGGCTCTAATAACATCATGATCAATGCAATGTTTGGTCAGCGCTTTCATTGCAAGCTCCCTAGCTATATAAATTCATTTCTTGAATCAATCAACCCCATATACCCACAAAAATTCTTTCACAAAAGTGCAAACCTTTTGTTTTCTTCTTCTTGTTTCACATGGCTGCCTCAATGTCAAAGCTGTTTTTGGGTTTGCTTCTCCTTGCATTCTTCACGGCCACAAACGCCCAACTCAAAGTTGGCTACTACGCAGAGACTTGCCCAAATGCTGAGGCAATCGTGAAGGAAGTGATGGATCAAGTCATGTATGTGGCTCCCAGCCTCAGTGGCCCTCTCCTCAGGATGCACTTCCATGATTGCTGGATCAGGGTAAAGCATATGAAGTCGTTTGACATTTTTTGCAACTTCATGATAACCAGAGAGATTAGTCGTAATCGTCGATTGACACAACGAATAAATTTTAATATTCTATATCGATTACCGTTGTATATGGATGTAAGTTTCTTTTAGTGGTATTTGCATGCATGTAATCAACGTGGTTTGCTATTTATTGGAGTCCTTAGTTGATCTTGTGCATCATGTGACAGGGTTGTGACGGTTCCATTTTAATAAACTCCACAAAGAACAACACCGCTGAAAAGGATTCACCTCCTAATTTCACCCTAAGAGGGTATGGAGTCATCGACAGAGTCAAGACAGCCCTAGAGAAGGAATGCCCTGGAGTTGTTTCCTGCGCCGATACCTTAGCCATAGTGGCCAGAGACGTTACAGTTGCGGTAAGTTTTGTTATACTACGAGTATTGTAATGATTTTTGACAGAGCTATGTTTCTTATCAGAGTCGTAAAAGTTGGGTAATTTTTAGTTAGTATTATAATTCGACAACTATATTTTTTTTATCAGAGTCGGTTATAGTACTCTATACGTATAAACCCTACGTGGTTCAGTAATAAAATACAACAATTACCATCGAATTCTAATTTTTACGACAGACGAAAGGGATGAGCTGGGAAGTCGAGACGGGGCGAAGGGACGGGACGGTGTCGACCATGAGCGAGGCCTTCGGCCTGATCCCGCCGTCGGCCAACATCTCGACCCTGATCGCCGGCTTCCGAGCCCGCGGCCTCTCCGTCAAGGACCTGGTGGTGCTACAAGGCAGCCACACCATCGGAATCTCCCACTGCTCTTCCTTCACTAACAGGATCTACAACTTCACGGGGAGAGGCGACGTGGACCCGACTCTGGACTCGGAGTACATCCCCAAGCTCCGGGGCAAGTGCCGGTCGCCGGCCGATCAGACCACGGTGGTGGAAATGGACCCGGGAAGTTTTAAGACTTTTGACGACGGGTATTTTAAGCTCGTCGCTAAAAGGAGGGCTCTGTTCCAGTCCGACGCGGCCATGCTAGACGACGTGGAGACCAAGGCTTACGTGGAGAAGTCCCTGACCGCTGGATCTACTTTCTTGAAGGATTTTGGGGAATCGATGGTTAGGATGGGGAGGATCGGCGTGCTGACTGGGCAAGCGGGGGAAATCAGGAAAGTATGTTACCAGATTAATTAAGTGGATTAACTTTCGTAATTTCTAAGTTGAATATTATATATGTATTTTAAAAAAAGGTGGGTTGTAATAACGAAGGCATATCGTCGCTAATTATACGGTTCGAAAGACGACTGAGAATGGCCGTCGCTAAATGGGGGTTTGCGAAAGGTAATTGTTGATTCAAGTTGGTCGTGAAAGAGTTGAGGTTCTTATTTAATTTATGTCGATTTTATTGGTGTTGATAATATCGGCAAAAGATATAAGATATTTTTGTTTTTTCTTTTCGGTGTAACGATGCTCTTTGTGTTTCGAGGAGGAAGAAGATAAGATAACTATTATAATAATTAATAAAGAGAGCATTAATTTTTATTTTTGGGTTTACTTAATTATTATTTCTACATCATATTGTTATTAGTAATAAATCCTTTTCATTACTGAACTCGAGCATAACTCATTGCTACGTTTCATTATACTGTTTCATTCATCTTCATTCTTCATCAAAAGCATATAATTCATCAACAACTAATTTGTTACTTCAATATAACTCAAATCATTTAACAACCAATTAGAGTACCGTCATGGAGAAAGCGATTGAGGCCATACAAAAAGAGGGTAGGTAATGGAATATGGAGATGGCGATGGATTGCTAGGCCAGGTTATAATTTGTTTGATAAAAATAACAAAATTCAATGGTCCGAAGTAAGACGAAACCAAACTTCATAAATAGTATTATTCAAATGTGTGACAAAAGATGCATGGGTTGCATTTAGCCATCTTATTCTTATCGATGGCTTAACGAATACACTCTCACCAATTAATTATCATAAGTCGGCGGCCGGGAAGCAGATGTTGTACTTATAAACTCCATAGATTGTAGAGATTGTAAGACTTTTTCACTCCATAATTGTTATAACCAATTCATTCTAATAACTCGTATTTTTAACAGAGTCGGGACAGTACATATCATTTTTCTATACGAATGTGCAAATTGCGAGAAATCTGTGCACCGAGTTTGGAGCTTGTACTTCAAAGTAAGTTGTGGCTACATTTAATATTGGGGACTACTATATAAAATTTGAATGACAAAACATTTTGGTCATAACTCTAATTAATATCACACAGAAACGAAATTATGTATCATTCTTTTCCATGATCGTGCAAACTAAAACCTACATTTATGAAAGAAAATATTTACTAACTACATTACATCTCAATTTGGAGGTGAATAAATTAAAAATTTATGTCAAGTAGGGCTGGCTATTTAGTCCAGACTGTTTGGTTTTACCCGAAATCGGACCATATAACTCGGACCGGGATTGGACTGGGACCGGATAGCAAACAATCCAATCTCATATTCGGACTTAGATTTGAGGTAAAAAACCGAATAAAGACCGGATAAGAGACCCTCAACATCTAAAATCAAGATCAAATTGAGACCGGACCGGATCAAGACCGGACTGTATCCAATCCAATCTTTGATCCTTATATTCTCGAAAAACCCGGACTGGAATCGGATCAATTTGATTCAATTTAACCGGACCGAACCTTATAGCCACCCTAATGTCAAGGACCGACACAATATCATTTGCTGGCCTGGTTTCGGCGATTGCTTTCTTTCTGAACAGCATCCAGTGCCAAGGCTTATATTCAATCTGGCGCCTTCCTCTTTGAGTGTTGTATTTTATAGCAATTTAGTATTCAAAGAGTCTCTTTACTCTTCCATTTCTGGCATCTTCCATATATATAATCTCTCAACAATAGTATAATACTACTCATCGGCTCCACTCTCACTAACTTAAAAAAAAAAAAACTTCCCTTTATTCTTTGCGTTGTATCTTCAAAATTCTACCTCCATTTTTTAGCCATTAACAAAGGGCCAATCACTCATATAGGCCATTAAATTTCTTGGTCATGGACAAATCGGTCCCTTGAAGTTTAATTTCAACGAACTTTGTCAATACAGAAGTTTGTAACAAGTATAATAGTAAATTAGTAATAGTTACCTTTTTCGTCTCCTTCAAGCTTTTCATCCATATAGTTGAAATACCACGCGTTAATATCTCGTCTAAATAATGATAAAAATATACAATTTAGTCAGATTCATACCCACTTTAATAAATTAAACTGTAATAGTTCCTTCTACACCCTACTATAAACTATGCGCGTTGATTTGTTTTATATATTAATTTTCGATGAATCTATACGCTAGTCCAACCGTAAAACTTGATGAAAATACGATTGTATTAGTTACTTCAAACCTCAATAATGAGTTCATCTATAAATTAGAGTTTAGTCACCATTTTAAATCCAAGGATTGTTCATGTAATTGACCCATTAAAAAATCATCACCACTTCCTATATATACACCTACGCGGCTACGCCTATAACCCATCTAGCTAACTCTGTTTAATTCATCATCCAATCTCAATTCTTCAACTCCAATCTCTATTGTTTTGTACTCTCTTTTACTTAAACTCCCATTCAAATCCTTTGCATTATTTATATTTATTCGATTAGCTGTTAGTAGTCCATCTCAAGACGTGCAAAATTTTGTTCACACAATACTTAGAGATGCTGAAAGAACCGCCGGTCCGACCAACTAAGCTACATTTCGCTATATGCTTTACCGTTCTACTCTTCATGGGCCTCATCGCCCTGATCTGCTGGCTCAGCCTGCGCCCCAGCCGGCCCGAATTCCACATCCACCACTTCACAATCGTGGGCCTGGGCCAGGCCGACGGGTTCGAATCCACCCGAATCGTGTTCAACGTCTCGGTCAGGAACCCGAACCGGAGGCTGAGAATCTCCTACGAGTCGTTATCGGCGTCGGTGTACTACGGCGGGGAGCGGATTGGGTCCACGCCGTCGCTTTATTCGTTCGATCAGCCGCCGGAGAACACGTCGTACGTGCACCACGTGCTGACCGGCGGGGTAATGGCCGGGAACTACGGCCAGCCGTGGATGGAGATAGTCAGCGACCGGGCGCAAGGAATGGTTGACTTCCGGTTGGAGCTGAGGTCCACGATTCGGTATGAGAAGGCGATATTGGACCTGAAGCGACACCGTTTGCGTCCCAAGTGTAATGCTCCTGTTGGGCCGGATGGGCTTCTGTTGCCCGATTATAGAGACAAACGATGTTCCCTCTAACTAGTGTCTCAATTCAATTTTCATTCACTACTTGTTCAATGTTGAGGGTGTGGACAAATATGCATTGTAAGTTTGTATCTACTTCCGATCTACTCGTCCTCGTTCTATTCGATACTGTCGTGATCTTGACTTCTGTTAAATCATATTCTAATGATCACATTAAAAATATAATTAGGTATATATCTCAAAGTTTTGATTAATTAGACTCAACTACTACACGAGTTATTGTCCAGGAAGTATTATCGTCTTGTTTTCTCATAGAAATATGATTTAATAGAAGTTAAAACATTTTTATTTTTTACGAAAAGATAAATTGCATTACAAAGACTCAAAAAATCACAACGTTTACGACTCCGATAAGAGCTAAGTGCAAAAATCAAAATCCCCAATAAGCGCATGAAACAATGAAAGGGCCTTTCGAGAATATAAGTTAAAATCACGATAGTATCGGATACGACAAAATAAATCGACCTAATTTGACCCAAGCCACATGAGAGTTAATTAAGCCACATTGCTCTCAGCACAAAGACAAATATAATGTGAGTTATTGAGGTTCCGCCCATCCTGCTCCATTGCCATGCTTATTTACACTAATGGTAAATGACTAGTAAAAAAACGTGTTTATACTTCCATGTCCGTAAAAATGACAGAAAATCGAACATTAATCATCTGCATGTTTGATTAGATACTTTCAACTGAAAGTTCGGTGGAAGTAGAACTAAATATTCGTTATAAAGTACAAAATCCAAGTTAGCATTTTGTTTAATTTTGAAGATCAATGTTAATTTTTGGTTACTTACATTAATGACTAAGAAGAAATTACTATAATGCCAATGATTCCAAACTTCAATCACAAGTATAGTTCAAGAGTAATTCAATGAGCATTCATGTAATTTCACCCTTATTCTTTGCTTTGTCCTCCAACAAACCCCAAAGAAGCAATCCAAAAATTCTCCCCATTCCCCCAATTCTTTCAAGTATTCCTTACAGAATCATCCCTACTTCACATATAAAACCCTCTCTCTGCAGTAACCCTGTTCATCACCCAAATCCCATTTCTCATCACTCTCTCCTCCACCAAAAAAAAAAAAAAAAAAAACATGTCCAAAGAAACAGCCACCCGACCCACCAAGCTCTACTTCTCCATCGTCTTCACCGTCATCTTCTTCATATCCCTCATCCTCCTAATCTGCTGGCTCAGCCTGCGCCCGCACGAGCCCAAGTTCCACGTCCACAATTTCTCGGTCCTCGGTCTGGCCGACCACGGGCTCGAATCGGCCCGGTTCGTCTATAACGTGTCGGTTCGAAACTCGAACCGACGCGTGGGAATCTCCTATGACACCCTGACGACGGCGATTTATCACAACGGACGGCCCATTGGGATTACGCCGTCGTTTAACTCGTTCGATCAGGAGCCCAAGACCACGTTGTATATTAGCCACGTGCTGACTGGAGGGGCGATCGCGGCGGCAGCGGGGAGTGGGGACACGTGGAAGGAGATCGTTGGCGATCGCGGGAGTGGGAAGGTTGAGTTTCAGTTGGAGCTGAGGACTAGCTTGAGGTATGAGAGGACGATGTGGGACCTGAGGCGGCACGGGGTTCGTGCCAAGTGTCAGGTTCCTGTTGGTGGAGATGGTGCTCTGTTGGCGGGCTACGTGGGACAGGAGTGTCCTTCGTAGTTTTACTGTTTGGGGACTTGTGTGTCTTTTTGTTGTTGTTGTTGTTTTGGCGTTGTGGAGTTGAAGGTTTGTGAAAAGGATGTGATTTGTTTGATTGGTTTTGTTTTATCTCGTGTTGAATTTAAGAATGAGAGTTATTAACGTTTTGTTCGTATTTATGATTTTGATATCGTATTGAGATTTCAAAAAGAACAATCATGTCTGTAATGTAATCATCGATAATAGTAATGAAATAGAGACGAACAATAATGAACGATATCATGAATTGTATAATACATATTTTGCTACAAGTAACCAAAAAGAAGAGAATACTCAACTTACAGGAAACAAGCTGGATACCTTACTCTTGTTCAAGACTTCAAGCATTGGGGCTTGCTCACATTAGGAGCAACATAATATGCTACCACGTCGGCCTCTTAACTCCAAAAGCAATTCTGCTGCAGCGGCAATAGCTAGGGTTGCTATTGGAGGAAGATGAATGAAAGGGAGTCACGGAAAAAAAGGGTTGACGAATACGATAACATTAACGATCAATCCAAAAGTCGAGCCAAATTTCGATCAGTGCTCTAAAAATTGGCACATTTTAATCTTTTTTCGAAAGTTCAAGCCAACCTTGTCTACTCTGTCTTCTGATGCAACATTGTCTTTTCCTAAAATGCCAAGTTTGGAAAGTTGGATAATTTGACAACTGCTAATGAAGCTCAGTAATAACAATGCGCCAAATTTTATTCATCTACCACTCCACTTCTCTTTGGCTGTCCCCTCCTCCTAGTTTCACCTTCCTATCTCTTCTTCTTGCTCACGGGTTCTCCTCATCTGATTGGTTGCCATGCTGCCCCGGCACAGCATCCACGAAAAATTCCTCCACTGTCACAACAAAGTGAGAATTAATTCTTCATCATCGACTAATCATTGTTTGTATTATTGAAGATTTGATTCGTTTTCAGACAAATCGGACGATCCAAGTAACGATTACGAAACAATGCAGCCGAAATCGAGTGTGTACCATAAGTTCATAACGCGCCCTGATCACTATTATGTAGTTGTCAAGACTAGGATGAAGTCACTAGATGAGAAAGACAAGGTTGGGATGTATTTCTCAGTTACCTATGCCGTCATGCTCTGGAGAATCAAGCAAGATTTCAGAATCGGAAGGCAGAAATGGTGAGCCAGGATAATTTCCTAGAGCGCCTAAATCTGTATCATCAAAACCACAAAAAAAAAACCAAAAAAGCAATCTTCTTAGTTACCATCATCTGATTGTTTCAGCAGAAGATTCATTCATCATAATGTTAAGCGAGCTTTACCTCCCAAGTTGGATAAATCAGCGGTCAGATCTGAGAGACTAAAGTTCCACTGAATCTGATCAAGTGACCTGGACCCTCCAGCACCTCCGTCGGGCCCCAGCTGCAATCCTACAGAGCTAGCCACGTCAGATGTAAATGCTGTGTCGAGTGCAGATGTGTCTACTCCCATCCCTGGTATATCCGACGCTGTAAAAGGGAAATGGCCGCTCGACGCCACTGATGTAGGACTTACAGCCGCCATTTCTGGCATGCTGCTGTTTGCTGCAGTAACAGCAGCACCACCAACTACTGCATCAGGTGCTGCACTCGTTTCAATCACCATGTTGCTGCAAAAAACGAAGACTAATTACAAGAGACTCAACCGTTGCAGGGCAGGCATTTTTTAAAATGTTCTATCCTTTTGTGGGAGATGGAAACTGAATACCCAGTTGATAGAAACAAGAACATCTAACTCTCTTTTTTTCTTTCTAGGAATGGGATGAGAGAGTTCTCACTCATTTCCAGAGTTCATTCGCATGGGATGGAAGTTTGATGGTGCTGGGACTCCATTGACAACATGACAGCTTGATATTCCACAGCCCATGGAGTCCATATGAGGTTGCCCAGGAGCTGCCATTGGCGGTTGTTGAAGAACAGGGTACCCCATAGGTAAGTTGTTAACTGCAGTACGAACAAGCGGTGCTGATTATATCGTAACAAAGTTATACGACAATCAGATCTTTTAATATAAACCGATCAGGTACTACAGAGAATTTATTAAACAGATAAGCAGAAACCGGTTTCATCTGACAACCAATTGCACTGATAACCAACAGTGAAATTGTAGAAGTAAGTTCTTAGAACAAAAGGCTGAAGCAAGCAGCATAACAGGACCTTTATCTTGCTATAAGATAGATGATGAAATATTACGAAAGGAATGGTGCGTAAAACAAAAACAAAATTTTGATTGACTGCACTGTTAGATAACACCAATTTTAAATTCAAATACAGCTTTTCTACTTGCTTTCTCATCATTCGATAAACAAACAGTTCCAACAGGAAAAAAGTCACTTAAGAACTCACCAGGCATTGTGTGGATCCCATTTTGCATAGGAGCCAAAGGAACTTTTGGGGGTACTGGATATTTCATAAGATGGTATTGATTCTCAAGCAAATGATTAAATAGAAGGATCTGTTTCTTTAACTTCAGCCGTATGTAGTAAGCCCTGAAGAAATCGGCATTCTCCTCTTCCAACTTTTGCCATACTGAATGAAAGAAGAATAATGAGAAGAGAATATTAGAATAATACACTGAATAATCTGTTCAATAGTGTTGCGATGGAAGAAAAATATAGTATCCTTCATCCACAAAAAGAAATCCCATCTCATATATGGTATACGGCATAAAGGTACAGGAACCAAAATCTAGCACGATCAGGTCAATCGGAGAAACCCACCTAACGTTGTAAATCCAGGATCTATCCTTGCACGAGTCAAGAGGGTTTTGACCACCTCATCCTTATTCATGTAAAGCTGTAGACACCTTTCTATTAAGTTTTGAACCTACAGAAGCCATTAAAGCATATTGGTAACGGTTCCTGGAACAGGAGCCTGGGAAAAAGTTCCATTCAAAGAAAAGAAAACCAAGGAACTGTACGATGCAAGTCTTTTTGGTAAACTTCAAAAGAACATGAAGCTAACTAGCTAGCTAAGGGACACAGTTCTTATAATGAAGAGCACAAATGAAACACAACCAAAAGATAAACAAGGAACAGATTCACTTACAAGTTCAATGTCCTGGCGAGAAACCTTTTTGTTATCATTACTGGTGGCAGACAGAGAACCAGAATCCGCCGCTGGCCCCTCTGGATTGTTATTGTTTGGCTGATCACTCTGAGAGTCCAGTGATACTTGGTTTGACCGAACTTCCTGTTTGTTCTAAGAATCCAGAACAACTCTATTAAATTCTTGTAAAAGAAAATTTATATGCAGTAGCCTAATTTTACCAACAGCCAGTGGTAGTCTGATCAAAACCCACTTACTGGGGAAACAACACACCTGAATGCTCTATTAACATTTATCTACAAGCTAGCTAGTTCGTGGTATATTGTGACTATGTACAGCTATCTACAAACACACCTTAATGCTCTTCATCCCAGCTAAAAGCAAGTTGATTGCATCTGCTTCTGTTCAGCTCCAATGTTCTTCAGTTTCTTCAATGGCCAAGATGGAAGAAGAAGCAGTAGGTACTAGCTATGCCAATGAAAACCATAGATCACAAAGGCACTATCACCTGTGAAAAGAAGTAAAAAACTTGAGCCTTTGAATGGTAACACTACTATATCATAGCTCTGCGTGATAGAAAGATATATATACAAGCACTGCAGCACTGGAATCTAAAATTTAAGCCTGCTGCATATTGAACCTGACATATATTTTTTTTTTTACTTACGAATCGTTAAGACGAGACAATTTGACGAAGCATTTCGTTCATATCATGTCAACACGGGTCATTGCGACAAAATGGTTGTTAAATGTTGAACCTAAAACAAATTTTATACTTATGGATCATTTAGATGAGGCATTTTGAACGAAGCATTTCGTCCATATCATGTTAACACTAGTAATCGTGACAAAACCGTCGTTAAATGTCAAACCTAATTTCTACTTATGGATCGTTTAAATGAGGCATTGAGACGAAACATTTCGCGCACAACATGTTAACGCGAGTTATTGCGACTAAATGTCTCGTTTGGCAAGTAAAAAAGAATCAGACTATAAGAGCATACTATAGCGATTAAAAAATAGATTAAAAAAGGCATTTCCCACTGATTAAACAAATATAGCTTGAAGATTCTCCACCCAGTCAACCAACAGCACCCAATAAAAAAGCTCAAAGTAAATTAATTGGATATTATGAGTTACCAACCGAATCTTCAGCCATAAGACCATGCAAAGAACAGTAGCAAGCAAACCGCAAGATCTAGGATTGATCAGGATCTTACCAGAGGCGGAGATTCCCCGAATGAACCTCCGATTTCGAGATTTCGAGATTTCGACGAATTGAGATAGAGATCAGTACAGTTCTACCCTGCAGAAATGAAGATTCAAGTCAAGAGCTATGCCAGTGATTCCCGCATAAAACTCCCGACACCCCGATTTCGCGTTTTCAACAAATTGAGAAAGAGATCCCTTATTGTTATAGCCTACAGATGGGAAAATTCAAGCGCAAGAAGTAAAGCGGCTGGTCGCCGATCACGCAATACCGAATTTGATGGACGCCCCCCGAATCGCAGCGGCTTTCCGCCTCAAGATTCGTCCGTCGCCGGAGCAGGGGAATCGTCGCCTAGAGTGAGTTGTTATAGAGTGTGGAACGGCAGTAAGGAGGGCTTACGATGATGTTGGTGTGTGGAGAGATGGGTAGATGAGACTGTGCGTTCTCTGACCATGAGAAAGGAACCCCACCCGCCGACGGAGGGCGAAATTAGAGGGAGATGGTAACGGCGGCGAAGGGATCCATGGCGGCGGGGGGGAGAAAGGAAGGAATGCGGCGGGTGGCGGAAGAAGGGCCGGCGGGGGCCGGGTGGGGAATGGGAAGGGAAAATATCTTCTTCTTTTTTTTTTAGTTTGTAGAATTGTGGTTATTGGGATAAGGAGTGGGAGGTCGAAATCGCATGGTAGTATAGAACAAGACAGCCAGTCAACAACTGTCAAACCTACTCAAAACGGTCGCGTTTCGTCAACACCACTTCTCAAAACTCGTCGCTAATATCATCTTTTTACCCACTAGTTGGAATGGTTGCTAACGAAGTGGTCGTTCTGTATCATTTTCTTTGTTTGATTTATATGTTGATGTGGTGCGATTTTGTGTAATGTGGTCGGAGAAAACCAAGATGTTATGCCGGCGTTTCGTGAGCTAGATCGAGAGTGAAAACTTGAATGAAGTCGATGTAGGACGGGCACGTATAGATGCATGTCATTGAAAAGGCATGCATACTCGATTGTACGATGACATGTTTTTAATAAAGTTAAATAATAACCAGTAAGATAATAATATAAGTATCGTTTTCATTGACGGAAATAGATAAAAGGAAACGGAGCATTCAATTGTCTTGATGACTTGCTAATTACGACACATTTAACAGGAAATCAGATAAATTCGCGGGTGATAATTTTTTTAGGAAAAAAAATCGTAAGTAACAAAAAAAAACATTCTAAAGTCTAGTGATAATTTTGGTTAAACTGAATTGTCTTAGTGACCATGAAAAAAATGCTCATTAAAGCAAGTAACATGCAGCTGCATAATATTACCAAATAGATCGATCGGTTAAGTCGTAACCATGCAGGTGACATGTGCTTTGACATTAGTAGAGGAAGACCGAAGTAATTTGTTACTAAGAGGGTATATATGATGCAGGCTCGATTTAATTCATAGGCGTTGGAATATAGATAATTAATACAAAAAGAAATTATGTAACTTGCTTACTTGCATCATCCTTTATACCGTAATAACTTGGGCGTTAGTGTTAGATCACGAGATCAACCTACCTCTGCATAAGTCTCTTCACACTAAAAAAAAAAAGATCTCGTCCCTTATGTTCTTCATCAACAAGATCATAAACAGTTAGACTCCTCACCTCTTCGACTATACATAAACAATGAATATAATAACATGTACAACATGCCATCAAACATTTCCAATTACAAAAAAGAAATTTACAATAAAAATTCCTTCCAACAAATATATGAATTAGGAAGGATCGAATTGATGACGTGGTCCATGTTGGACGATCTTGCATTTCATTGTGCTCTCTTCTTGTTTATTGCATTGGGCTAGTTTGCAAACAGGTTGTGGTCGATTGGTTGTAGCTCTTGATTTCGTTCTCGAAGATTTTAGGCCTAAAGTCTGAAATAAACAATCATTTTGACCTGATCTCTTTTGTGATGATACCATCAGTCTCATTCGAGTTGAAAATCGATCGACAACCCTGTAATTTGCTTGACGAATACATCACTATACTATACCAGTCAAAATGATTCTCCGTCATAAGAGACTTATACATATTTCTATACTTTTTTTTCCCCACAAGTTTTGGATAAAAGAAGAGAATGCCCAAATCCAGGAAACCAGCTATACCTAGCTTGATACCTTACTCCTCTTCTTGCATAAAGAGACTTTCTCCCAACATGAGCAACGTAATATGCTGCCATCCATGCTGTGGCTTCTTAGCTCTTACAACCAAAAGCAATCTGCTTTCTACTCATACCAGAGTCTACAGCTACCACTTTTCTTAAACCATGATGACTGCCAAGTTTCAATGGGGAAACTTCTCCAACCTAAGACACAAAGAGGTGGCCATTCGGTTACCGGTTAATCGGCCGACCGGTTAAACCAACAATCGACTGATTATCCACTAACCGGTAATCAAAATAACCGAATTTCGGTCGGTTATTAGAGGCTGGACGAAAAGATTTTTGGTCTTAAAAGTGGTACGATTAATCGGTAACCGAGAAACCAAAGCCTATTTCAGTCGGTTTTCGATAAAGGAAGTGATTATTTCGGTTAACCAATAACCGACCGATCGGTTACCGATTATAATCGAAATAACCGAACTGCCACCCCTTTACTTTGCTATACCATACATATTCTTTCCTTAGATGCCATGCCACATTTTAATACTCCACACCACATTCATATAAAACAACTATCCCCTATTCATCCTCAACACAACAATCATCAGAATTCAGAAGGAAGGAAGACCACAAGGAAGGCAAAAAAAAATGTACAACCACAACAACAACAACAACGGCCGGCTGCCGGTCCACCGCGAGCCCAACAAGCCGCCGCCGATCGAGCGCCACCACACGGCCCGCTACATCGCCCACCGCGTCCGCGAGAGCCTCACGACCCGCGTCTCAAAAGTCATCTGCTCCATCTTCCTCACCATCCTCCTCGTCGCCGGGATCGTCGCCTTCGTCCTCTGGCTCAGCCTCCGGCCCCACCGCCCCCGGTTCTTCATCGAGACCTTCTCGGTCCCCGGGCTCGACCAGCCGGGCGGGTTCCAGAACGCCCAGGTCCGGTTCAAGGTCACGGTCCGGAACTCGAACCAGCACATGGTGTTCCACTACGGGGCCATGCAAGGCGCGGTGTTCTACAAGGACCAGCAGATCGGGTCCGCCCGGCTGACCGAACCGTTCGACCAGGGGCCGAAGACCACGAAGGTTTTGGACGAGGTTCTGACCGGGGCGACCCTGACGGTCAGCAGCCAGCGGTGGGCCGAGTTTCAAGGGGACCGGTCGCTGGGCAAGGTGCCGTTTCGGTTGGATATCACGGCGACGATCATGTTCAAGGTGTCCACGTGGCGGAGCGAGACGCATCGGATGCATGCCAACTGTGATGTGGATGTGGGGCCGGACGGGTCGATCTTGCCGATTTTTAGGTCGAAGAGGTGTCCGGTCTATTTCACTTAATTGATTTCGTTTGATTTTATTGGAATTTCGCGCGTTAATTATTTTCCTTTGGGTTTTTTGGATTGTAATTTGTGCAATTGAGCTACTAATGTTTCATTTTCTTCTCGGGCAGGCAGTGTAATTTGATTATTATTTCTATGACTTGTAAATCAGTGTATCCTATTGCATAATATAATTTTTTTTTATGAATGATGAGACTTAAAAAAAAAGTATGCATGTTTTAAAAGATTATACGGGTTTATTCGGAACAGTCAAATGTCGTGCATGTCCTATACTGTTAATATAGACGTACAGTCTATCAAGCTTTGTAAAAACTAAAAACAAAATCGGCAAATCGCTCAATATCCTAGATTTATTATAGAACTACAAATTTATCTTTTGTAATTCACTAATTAGATAAACCTCATAAAATAGAATCAAACTACGAGTTCGAAATTTTTAGAAAATTGTTATATTATGTTCTTAAATCATCTCATGTTTTTATGGTTTACTAAGATTCACGTATTAGTGTCAAATACCAGTTAATCACATTCGCTCTGTTAATTGGAAAACACAAGATAAATGACTACCGACAATCTATCAAATAATTGCACCAAGTATCGCAGCCGCAATGGCTATCTACAAGACAAACACATATCTATCAATTTAATAAATAAAAAAGATAATCCACAATTTTGATTTGCTAAAGTTAAGAAAGTTAATCTAACGACAGTGATTATTTGGAGTATGATATACTCCAAGAATACGCCACTCGTTATCTCTATAAAAATGTCTTCTATCTTGCTCTAAGTAAGTATATGAGTAACACATATCCTTGGAAGAAAAAATAATTATCTTCACCTTTAATTAACCGAATTTTGAGTTATTATATTATAAATTTATAACCATAATTCTTTCTACATCCTATTTCGATCTCTAAACTCCAAAATGCTAAATAATAAGATGACGCATTAATATGTTAGATGTATTTCGACAAATCAGAACTTGTTCGACTAGCTTCGATCTCCAACTCGATGTGATTGTCTTCGGGTTTACAAATAGTTAAGGTTTGCGATTCGCTCTGATTCAGCATCCACTGCTACTTCTACCACCATTCTTTCTTCGTCCTTTTTCCTTCTTATCCTCGTTCATGGAAGCTGACGAAATTGGCTATCTGAACTTTGACCACTATGCTCCACTCTTTTTTTTGGTAAAATACTATGCTCCACTCTTCTTTCACATTACGTAAGAAAAAAGGGACTACAATAATAGCCTTTCTGAGACTTCAAGGTGACTTGTAAAGTGCAAAAATCCCAGGGCTTATGATACGTAAAGCTTCATCCCTTACACAGATACCACACTTCCCCTTTGATTCTTTTCCTCCAAATTAAGGACTCCACTTTTCTCAGTCCTTTTCTTTGTACTCGTAGTCATTCCTTTCATACCAAACCATCTCTGCAAGCTTTCCAATTCAACTTTCTGTCCAAAGTTTAATCCTAATTAACTCTTTTGCCCAATCAGCAACCACTAATGTCTAATTATTCCTCCATAAGTGCATATGTATAATGTAAAGAGCATGTAAAATACGATGATTGCGGAAACGAAAAGAACACGAGGATTTACGTGGTTTCCCCGTTCATAACCGAACGGGACTAGTCCACGGAGAGCTCTGCGCTCTCAGAGATGTAAATTATTTCTTCTGTTCTCAGTTCTTGGTCTGCGGCGCATACAGGGAACAAGAATAAATAGTCCAGCAAGCTTGGTCACCAAGCAACGTAAAGCTAGAGGTAAGAACCTAGGAAAATAACATAAGCAGTCCTCAGGAAATAAATATGTACAAAAGAGCCTCAACACTCCCCCTCAAGCGAAGGAATGGATATCGAGAAGACCGAGCTTGCCAAAGAGGTGATGAAATTGATCAACGCTCAAGCCTTTGGTGAAGATGTCAGCGGGCTGCTCCGCAGTAGGGATCTTTGCCGGAGCAATCTCGCGAGACTGAACACGCTCGCGGACAAAGTGGCAATCCATCTCAACGTGTTTAGTACGCTCATGGAAAACAGGATTGGCCGCGATATGGAGAGCAGCCTGATTATCACAGTACAAGGGAGTGGGACGCGGAGTAGAAATCCCCAAGTCACGCAGTAACCAACGGAGCCAGAGGACTTCACTAACCGTGTTTGCCATCGCACGGTATTCAGCTTCAGCAGACGAACGAGCAACAACTGTCTGCTTCTTGGTACGCCAGGAAACCGGTGACGAACCCAACATAATGAAGTAACCTGTGGTCGAACGTCGAGTGAGAGGGCAACCAGCCCAATCTGCATCACAAAATGCTGTCAGAGAAAGAGAGCTAGAGGTAGGGAAAAACAAACCGCGACCCGGTGCTCCCTTCAGGTAACGAACAACACGAACTGCAGCATCCTCATGAGCTCGAGTAGGTGACTGCATAGCCTGACTCAAGAGATTAACTGCATAGGTAATGTCCGGTCTGGTGACGGTGAGGTATAAGAGACGCCCCACCAACCGTCGATAGGCAGCAGCATCAAGGGCAGGAGGAGAAGCAGCACGACCAAGATGATGCTGTTGTTCGATGGGTGTGGAGCAAGGCTTAGCTGCAGTCAGACCGGTATCAGCAAGGATGTCCAGAACATACTTCCTTTGATTGAGGACAAGACCACGGGCCGAGCGGGCAACCTCAATTCCAAGGAAGTACTTGAGAGGTCCAAGGTCCTTGATAGTAAAACGGTCGTGAAGAAATGCCTTAACACGTGTGATGAAGGACAGGTCATTGCCAGTGAGTATGACATCGTCAACATAGATAAGAGCAACCACAAAACTGGAACCCTGACGATATGTGAAGAGAGCATGATCAGCACGACTCTGAACAAACTTAAACTCCAATAAAGCCTGAGTGAATTTTTCATACCAATTTCGAGAAGCTTGGCGAAGACCGTAGATAGATTTGTGCAAACGACAAACTCGAGTGTCACCAGGCTGCGAAAAACCAGGAGGGACTTTCATGTAAACCTCTTCATCAAGCTCACCATGCAGAAAGGCATTATTAACATCCAATTGATGGATATGCCAACCACGGGTAACTGCAACTGCAAGTAGACAACGAACAGTGACCAGTTTGGCCACAGGGGCGAAGGTGTCGTGATAGTCGATACCCTCAACTTGAGTAAACCCCTTAGCAACGAGACGCGCTTTATAGCGCTCAACTGAACCATCTGGATTAAACTTGATTTTGAAAACCCATTTGCACTCAATTGCCCGCTTGCCAGGAGGTAAGAAAACAAGAGACCACGTACCATTGGCCTCTAACGCCGAAATCTCGGCCTGCATGGCCACCCGCCAATGATGATGGCGAACAGCCTGATGAAAATAAAGTGGCTCATCAACGACCGATACAGCAGCAGCAAAAGCACGATGAGACGGCGACAAACGATGATAGGAGATGTAGTCATCGAGAGGGTAAACAGCTGTGGCCGAATGAGCCTTGCCGGGCAGATTCACATCATAATCTTTTAAACGTGTAGAGGGAACACGAACTCGGTCACTCTTCCGAGGTTGGGGAGGATGAGATTCCACCACAGGAATAGCCACGACAGGAGGTTCTTCGGCCGAAGTGCCCGACGCATCACCTGGACTAGAGGGCGACGTGTTGGCAGGCGTGGCTGAATCAGTGCGTGACGTAGGAGGAGGCGAGCCAGCTGAAGGAGATGCGGGCTCGGCAGCTGTGGTCTGCGGATCATCCGCATTTGGAGGATGGAGAAACTCGGCCAAATCAGCCAAGTCATGATCAAGTGATGGCGGTGCAAACTGAGGCATGGAAACCAAGGTAGGGGTAAGACGCGATATATTCGCCATATCCCGGTAAGGAAACACTGATTCCAAGAATCGTACATCACGAGAAGTATATATATGACGTTTCTCCAGATCATAAACACGATAGCCACGTTGGTTTGATGGATAACCAAGGAAAATACCGGCGCGTCCACGCTCACCAAATTTATGCAAATTATGATGAGTATCCCGGGAGTAAACCAAGCAGCCAAAGCTGCGCAAATGCTCATATGATGGATCTCGATCAAAAAGCAGTTGAAAAGGAGATTTGTTGCCAATGGTGACCAAGGGCATACGGTTGATAAGATAGGCTGCAGTAAGCACACACTCGCCCCAAAACTTTATGGGCAGGTTGGCATGAAAACGCAGGGCACGCGCAGTATCAAGAAGATGTCTATGCTTGCGTTCCACGACACCGTTTTGTTGAGGAGTGTCTGTGCACGAAGTCTGCAGCATAATTCCTTCTTTCTCATAAAAGGAAGTCAACAGATTAGTGGAGAACTCGGGACCATTATCTGCCTGAATGCGACGAACCTGCTTGCCAAACTGTGTGCGAGCAAGGTTGCAGAAAAATAAGAGAAAACGACCAACATCAGACTTATAACGCATTAAGAAGACCCAAACTGCCCGACTATAATCATCCACGATAGTCAAAAAATAATGAGCTCCGGAAATAGAGGCTGTCTGATAACTGCCCCAAATGTCAACGTGTATGAGCTCAAAACAAGACACTGACTTAATAGTACTGGGTGCAAAAGAGTCTCGTGTCTGTTTTGCTCGAAGACAAGACCGACAAGGTTCTTTATGATGAGCTAAAGAACATGAAATAAACTTCTCCAAAACAGCAAGTTTCGCTGGAGACGGATGACCCAAACGGCTATGCCAAAACTCCGCATTATCCACAGCCCGTCGAACAGAATGCGCCATAGGATGACCCTGATCAAACAGCCGGAGATAATACAATCCATCCACATGCTTACCCATCCCAATCAGCTTCTTGGAGGGTAAGTCCTGAATGATACAGAAATCACTCAAGAAAATTAATGCCACTGGAAGATCAGTAGTAAGTCGGCTCACAGATAATAGGTTGCACTGAAAATCTGGAACATGCAGTACTCGACGAAGAGGTAAACCAGTAGACAAACTGGCAGTGCCTATACTGTGAACTTTAACCCCACTACCATTAGGAATCTTAACCTGCAGAGTTGGAGATGTATCCAACTCATTATCCAACAACGAAACATCATTAACAATATGCTCATTGCAACCACTGTCAATTACCCAAGCAGATTTAGGAAGTGATAACGTACCCGCCATATTTGAAGTAGGATCAAACGAGGCAGTGGGCAGTTTCTGGTCAGCAGCTAAAAAACTCTTCAGCTGGGCAAACTGGGCGGCTGTAAGGCCAGGAATTGGACTGTCCCCTGCCTCTACCTGAGCCGCCTGAGGATTGGATTTCACACCCCGATCATTGCGCCGACGTGGACGCTCCCCCTTGCTGTCATCACGAGGAGGAAAACCAATAAGTTTGTAACATGTTTCCTTAAAATGACCAACCTTGTTGCAATGTGAGCATCTCGGCTTTCCGTCCGCATCTCGCTCGCCCGGTTGAGAACCGCGATCAGAACGGCGCTCCCCCTGAATCTGGAACGCAGCTGCCTCGGATTTGGGACGCCGACTGTGCGCGATATTTCGCTGCTGCTCATCATTAGTGACCATGCGATAAGCCTCGGCTAATGTCGGTGTTGGCTTCATCGCAAGAATTTGAGACTTTACGGTAGAAAAGGCATCATCTAGGCCCATCAAAAAATCAAAGAGTTGCTCACTCTCTTTGACTGACCGCTGCCGCTGCTTGACATCGCACGTACAGCCATGGCAAGAGCACTCCAAGGAAGGAGCCAAGGAGTGAATTTCGTCCCAATACCCCCGCAATTTAGTGTAGAAGGCTGAGACTGAAGATTTCTCCTGCTGGAGAAGACCAATATTGCGCCGCAATTCGTAGAGCCGAGAGGCGCTACCCTGACCAAATCGAGCCTGAATATCCAGCCATATTTCTCTGGACGTCGAGGCGAACCGGACGCTACTACGAACCTCCTTGGACATGGCAGTTTTCAACCACCCCTTAACCATTGCATCACAACGTTTCCAAGTGTCCCGATCAGCACCCGACTCGGGAATAGGAAAGCTCCCATCAACAAAACCGAGTTTGTTTTTAGCAAGAAGACAATCGGTGATGTCCCCAATCATTCACCATAATTAACGTCGGTGAGTAATTCCCCAACAAACAATTGACTGGGGTTGTCCGATCGATGGAGATAGAGAGGGGAAGGCGATTGTGAATCATCTGCCGAAGTACCACTCATGATGAACGAAAGAGAACCCTGTGAATCCACTCACAGCTCTGATACCATGTAAAATACGATGATTGCGGAAACGAAAAGAACACGAGGATTTACGTGGTTTCCCCGTTCATAACCGAACGGGACTAGTCCACGGAGAGCTCTGCGCTCTCAGAGATGTAAATTATTTCTTCTGTTCTCAGTTCTTGGTCTGCGGCGCATACAGGGAACAAGAATAAATAGTCCAGCAAGCTTGGTCACCAAGCAACGTAAAGCTAGAGGTAAGAACCTAGGAAAATAACATAAGCAGTCCTCAGGAAATAAATATGTACAAAAGAGCCTCAACAGAGCACATATTCTCTTCGTAACGAAGAAACTTCATAGCCAAAACATAAATGTTCCTTTTAGCCAAAGAATGTTCAAATGGTAGATTGCAAAATGGGTCACTGACTCAGCTAAGGGCATTAGCGAAATGATCACTGAACTTTGATCGTTAAGAGCCTTTGATGCAAGTTTGGAATATTAACTACCATAACCGTTATTGTGTACGAATCATATAGGTGATAGTGTCAACTCATGCAAATTAACATCGAAGTTCATTAGCTTATTTGTTGGTAGACCCAAAGTTTATGAACCATTTATGTAATTAACCTAGCCAGAGGTCAATTTGACACTTAAGGCTCTTCTCTGTTTGGCCCAATCTAGTTCATAAGCTTTATACTCGGTGATCATTGCAATAATTGAGCACATTGCAATAACTGAGCACTTCTTCTTTCATCACATCATAATTTTTATAATGAAAGATATGTGATTTAAAAAAAAATGTTCATCACCACGTAAAAAATCGAATAGTGATAATTATGTTGTATCCACGTATGACCATTGGAGCGTTATGATCAAATTCAGAGTTCGGGTACCGAAAATATCAAATTGATAAAAGTCTCTTCTTATTCCCACTGACAAAAAAGGTTGTCTTTCTCATGAAACTTCTCGATGCAAGCTCCTCGTGATGCTCTTAACTTGTGTCTAACACATGAGATTTTCTATGGTTAATTTCTGTGGGGATTCGCAAACTCTTGTCCAGCATGTGGTGGCGCGCGTGAGGCTGAGCATGGTCTCGAGGGGAGCTCTCTTGAAGGAAGTTCGACATCTCTTTCGATTTTTTGTTTCATTTTTTTTACTTTAACTTCGCATCGATTTAATAGGGCTGCCCGCTTAGTGGCACAAAAGGTCTTCTCATCGACAATTCGGCTATTTATCAGTGTTCATCGTGTCTGGTTGCACACACGCTATCGATAGGGGAAAAAAAGTTGCATCGTTCTTTTTGTACACACGCAAAGCTAAATTCTTTTTGGGAGCCTTTCTACACCTATATAAAAGCCTTTCTCATATCCCAGGAAATGAACTTTGAGCAAGCTAGCTTTCGGTTGATTTCATACTACATCACCCTAGATTCTACAAAAACATACCCCGTTATATAGAAAGGGAACCCAATTCCGCAAATTCTCAATTGCCTTCCCTCCAAAACCAGTACACCGTCGATCATGGCTTCTCCACGCCGCCCCGAAAGCCTTGACGACGCCCATCTCTCCGTCTACTGCTGGCTGTTGCAAGTCTTCTTCCTTCTCTCAGCCATCTCCATTCTCATATGGAAATGCTTGACCCCACAATCCCCTGTCTTTATCGTCACCAATATTGCCTCTCTTAATCACCAAATGTTTGGTGATGGAAATGTTACTTCCGTCGCCTTAGATCTCGATATCTCCAACCCGAACCAAGGCTATGGCATCTACTTCAGCAGCATCTTCGTTAGCCTTGAAGACGGCTCGATCGTCGCCAATGGTTCTACTTTGGGGTTTTACTTGAGCTATGGTGGTATGAATGTACTAAAAGTGTCGCTAAATGGCACGACGAAGAAGGTTGGGAGGTGCTTGGATGATGTAATGAGATTGAGATTGAGATTGAGAACGGGGGTGCAATTCGAGGATAAGGTGATTTCGAGCAGAATGAAGCGTAGGGAGATGGACTATGGGGCTGATTTGAGAGTGGGATTGGATGGAAGGATCGTACTTGGAGGAAATCAAGTTCTAATGTTGCTAAGCAATCAACAAAAGGTGACGAGCGGGGAAGAAGTACAACCTTGCATCAACTCAAGTAGGAAGCTTTTGAGTCATTGGAATATGTTGGGAAGCAATCGTTAAGAAATTATGATCTCAATTACGAGGATACACGAGTTTTTCATTAACATTGTATGCTTATGAAGTTAGCTAGTTCAGGAGATGGATCCATCTAAATCAATGTAGTATATTCCTATGTCTACAATGAAGTTTAGTGCATCTGAATAACGGTCTATTCCAATATTGTGGTAATGCGAGCGTGTAAGATAATCCAGCCATGGCGGACGACGGACGTCGGAGATGAACCTCTGCAGCGGGTACGCCACTACTATTAAAAAAAAAAAAGAATAGTATCCCACCATTATTCTTGGGACCATTAGATACTCTGTTAAAACTTAAAACAGAGGAGAACAGGGGAGCCTCTGTTTCCAGAGGGAAATTAAACCCGACGATGGTGGAAACGAAGTAATTGGTTTCAGCGAGTGGTTAAATTAATAATCAAGAATTCTGAATTCATCATCGGATCAAAGAATTAGTGTTGGTCTGTGGAAAAAGAAGGATTTTTCAACCGATCTCTCAATCCTTGTGGTAAGGACTAAGGACTAAGGAGGGAAGTGCAGATAATCAGGGTATTCGCACCCGGGGAAGGAAGGAAAGGCCGGGGAACTCCGGCAAAGGTTAGGGAGGTAGAAGAAAATCCCTTATCTGGTGATCAACACAATCACCAGCCCGACGCCGCTGCAGCAGCAGGAAGAGGAGTACGCCAGAGGGCAATAGGCACAGGCGACGGATCAGCAAAAACGAGCACGAAAATTGGAAAAATACAGGAGTCAGAAATGTCACAAATCAGAAAGTACTATTGAAATAAGAGGCAGCAATGATCAGCTCCGTAGGATGTTTAGGAACCCCCTTGCTTGGAAATCCGACGTTGATTAGCAACTTGCCTTCTCCATTCCCGAGCAGGAACCTGCAGAACAAACACAACGGGAAGCGTTTTAGTCTGGCATGAAGTCAACAATAACTGCAGATTTCAAGAGGGACTTAAGTATAGAGCTTACAGCAGGGAAGCCGGCATAATCCCCTGGCTCGCTGATGTCCTTGGTGACACAGCTATTAGCAGCAAGCCGCACCTTGGATGCAACTGATACATGGTCACGAACTGCCACTCTCCCCCCTAATGTAACATAATCTCCTATCCTAAAGCAACAAAAAGGGGAACAAAACCATATCTCAGTTTACTGCAAATCCTTGAAGAGGTATGTACAGCTAGGTTGTTGTCACAAATTGTAAAGTCACTTACGTTGCAGAACCTGCAATTCCGACTTGTCCACAGATAATGCAGCTCCTTCCAATGACCACATTATGAGCAATCTGAAATGGAGAAGGAAAAACAACTCATCTTCTAGTATAATGGGCGTAGGAAACGGAATCAAGTTATGCAATGGGAACTTACTTGGACTAAATTATCTATCTTTGAATGGTCTCCTATGACTGTGTCTCTCCAACTGTATAACCCAGAGAAGTTAGCGACTTTCACCGATCAAATTCAGTTCCAGTCGCGCTACTTCGAGAATCAGCACAAAAGGATATATATACATATTGAAGATGGAATACACAATTCTGACCTGCCCCTATCGACACAACTGTTTGCTCCAATCTCAACATTGTTCCCTATCCTCACATTCAGAAGCTGCGGAGGGAAGAAAAATGGTGTGAGTAAGTCAAGATAAGTCCAAATGACTCAAAGTGGGACTGAACTTCAATATCAAATTCAACCCTATCAGCTCCAGATGACTTGTATCTGCTTTTACAAGCTAAAGACAAATCAAACAACCTGAGGTTTCTTCACCATATTGCCCTGATCATCCACAAAGAAACCAAATCCTGTAGGTCAAAAAACAACAGCAGCAAAAGCCTTAGAAATGCTGAAACAATTATACCACCCAAAGAGCACGATTGCCAGACTAAGTGCTCAAATTGCTCCAAAAATGACAGTTACAAATGAGAAAAGAGTGAAGAAATTGACTTCGTAAAATCGACGTTAGTAAAATCATTCAATCTTCAAAACATACGAAAAGATGGTACCTCACCATCTTGGCCAATGCATACTCCATTATACACTGCACATGAATCGCCAATGCTGCAATTGCTAAGCACAGCATTGTACCTGAAATGGACACAGAATCTCAATCTTGCCAATGAACTTGAAGTAACTCACAGAAGATATATGATATTCACCCTATCTTTGTTGAACCGCCAATGGAGACAGCAGGGCCAATTACAGCACCAGATCCAATATGAACATTGGCTCCCACCATAGCTTTAGAGTGAACTATGGCACCAACTTCTATAACTGCCGTTGGATCAATACAAGCCAGACTGTGGAAAACTCCACCTCCATTGTTCCATTTCGAGAACTCCCCTTCATATTTGGCACTACCATCTTCTAATCTTAAACAGTGAAACAGAATGAACCATTCAGCATCTGACTTCTCCAGCACCATAAAGAAGAAGAAAATTGCAACTTTGGAGTCGATGTAGTGATTGGGTATTACCAGAATGCAGAGCGGCGGCAGCTCCTAGTTGGGTGAATAGGTTCGTTGGTTTAAGGCGATTGAGAGTGTCTGACCCGCCAATCTGCCACAGTCGCTTGAGTGAAACCGCCATCGCTCCAGCTGGGCAAAACACCGCGATAATGAAGTCAATCGAAATCTAGACAAACCCATTTGAGATACGAATCCCACTGAAAGAAGGGCAATTTCTTGTTTTTGGAGGACTTACGAGTTACGAGGTTCCCCTGCTTCGCTCTTCAAAATGATCAAGCTTGGCAATTCTTTCTGCTGCTGGCCGGAGGCAGAGGAGAGGAGAGGCATCGTTAGGGTTATGTACAGAGGGAAATTTTCCGATTTGGAGGGAAATTTCTGTTCTGGGCATCCAACTTACGTTTCTAAAGCATTCCGGTCACTATAAAACTCATAGTATGCCGAGCTCATGCCAAACATTGGTATAACAATTATTAAAAAAATGGGTAGAGACCAGTATTCGGCTTCATATGATATTAAAATAGTAGAATTTGTCTTTTTACATGATTAAAACAATAAAACACATGTATGTGGTGGATAGTATTGTATAGTTAGTTGATACTAACCTGATATAATTAGTTAATTGGTTAATGAGGAAATGGGTAATGTTTATAAATTTGTTGATTGATTTGCTTGATTGATTGGGGAGATCCCATAACAAAATAAGTTATTTGCATATCTATATGCTAAGAAAGTTAAGACAGGTGGGTACCTTAGCACTCATACGGTCATACCCACTCCTTAGTAGGCGAGGGCTAGTTTTGGTATGTTTTCTCGAGGTACAGGTTGAGCAGATCGATCCATTTGAATATATATCTCAAACAAAAATATTTCAACAAATTGATGATTTCAATAAGAATAAGAATCTTGATATGCAAACAGATAGTATGACATGATCAAAAAAGTCAAATCATTCGAGAAATATGGACTTCACATAATAATAGCTCTACTAATGTTTAAAAACGATGTAACAAAAGTTTAATGGTAAGTAGTTTGAGTAAATGATATAAGGAGTTAAACAAACAAGGCATAATGAGGTGGGACGGGATTAAAAAACCACCAATGTCTATCTCGAACCGTCCACAAGATAGGACTAAGCACCTCGTATCCTAACCTACAAATTCATCAAAATTCACTCACAATTATTTTCTATATAAAAGTAGGGTGCATGTTATTTTGGTGACCCGCAACCCACCACTCACTCGAATAGGTACAGTTAAGTGATTGACCAACTCACAATCCACCCACATAAATTACTCGTCCATAGTTTGAGTTATTTGTATGTAAGTTCGTATCAAACTGTGGTTCAACCACCCTGTTGCCCACCCCTACTTGGACAATCACCACGTCTAGGGCACAATGAAAAGTGGGTTGTCGGTCATTCTCTTGTCTAATTTTAATTTGTTGTGTTTCTCATTCACCCTTATCTTTAGATGACATATGTCACATGCTATTGCTCGACTTTGATTGTTGCTACGACATTGTCGGCACATAAGTCCTTGACATAAACAATGAAATGTAAAACCTAATTGCACCATAAGCACCGCAAGGGGAGCCCTAAAGTTGTGGAGCCAATTGATTATTAAATGAATGAAAAATAACAAGATGATAAAAGAACAAATATAGAGAATTGATTAATAATATTCATAGTAAAAAGAGTGGCGAACAATTATGATTTTGGTTAACAAAATATCGCAAGTTCGACATCATAATTGAATACATTATAATCCTTTACATCTTTTGGCTACCTTCTTCTACAACTATTGGTAGTAAAAAAAAAGTTTCATCTCTATCTGTATTCACTCGCTCATCATCATCGGGAAGCTTTACTCCTTCAAAGCTTAAAGTCGGAATTGACTACTATTTGATCCTACCGGTGATGCTGAAGGATAAAGGTTGACAATTAAGAGAGACAAAGTTCATGGATCTTGAATATATCCCATTTTTCTATTGATAGTGTGAATACTTATATCGTTTCTGTCTAGTCAACACAATTTTTTTTTGACAAAAGATAATCATATATTGATTCAAGAGAAGAAGTTACACCCTGGAAATCAGCCAGGTCTGAAAATCAAAGAAACGACTCATGGTCGGGTACAGAGAAAGGGCTTTCCTAGCCACCAGATGGGCTACCCTATTACTACGCCGACCTATGAACCGAATACTAAGCCCCGAATGGATATAAAAATACTGTGCAATCTCTTCAAGAACAGCACCCATCCGACTATCACTATGGTCACCTGTATTAATCTTGTCAATGATAACCTTTGCATCCCCCTCAAACCTCATATCCGTGAAACCTAACCCCAGAAACCAAACTACAGCCTCCCTGAGCGCAAGGAGCTCTACCAACAGAGGGTTGTCTACGCCAGGAAACTGAAATCCTCTGACCATATGGACCCCCCCATCAGGGTAGAACAGAACCACCCCCCTGAAGAATGGGATCCACACCTCGTGGCACCGTCCCATCGACAGACCGGACGAGGATGATCCTCAAAGATCTGCTGCCCAAGCTCAGTCCGGGGGGCTTGCCTGCCGCGATCTCTTGGCAATCTCACCCATTCCTCATACTGCTGGACAAACTGGCGCATCAGCACTGGGATCCCGAATTGTTTGCCTTCAAAGACCACCCAATTCCGTGATCGCCATATTCTCCAGAGAATAGCTACCACCGCCATCAACATCGTGGGTTGCTTAATCAGGGCCAAGAGCCGCTTAAGAAACAGCGAAAAAGTTTGTCGAGGCAACCCCTCCCCCAGATACTCCAGGCCCGAGTAATCCCATAATGCCCGCGCTACCGGACAGTAAAGAAAGAGGTGTTCAAGCGTTTCAGAGCTATCCCAGCACACCGGGCAACGGGGATGTACCTGGACCTTACGATCGATGAGTGCTTCAGTAGTAGGGAGGACACGGGAAAGGATCTGCCAGACAAATACCTTCAGCTTATCTTAATATTTCTGTGAGTGGTAATGTGCATATCTTAATAGATAATTTGAACTTTGGTTTTGCATCACTTTCAGGATAAAAAACTAACGGTATTCTCATATCGACGAAGTTAGTTTACTAGCATTCAAACTATATAAGTTCATCTATGGTATTGAAGAAATCTGCATCTAAACAAGAACAAGACAAACCACAAACTTACCTTTTCTATGGTATTCAATTTAACCTTTTATGCTAGTAGTAATTTGGTTTCCTCCAACATCTCATAACGCTAACAAGTAACAACTTTATTTTTATTAATACTTAGCTTGCACCAATAAATTTCTATCAAAGGCGAACATTGGCTCACCATTGCTAACATGGGCTTATAATACGTTCACCTCATACTAAAGACATTTTTGTGATCAAAGGACCTAATTTGAACTGATCATGCTACCTTCATTTAGTTTTGATAAGTCGTTTTCCACAACTCAATTATTATGTCCCGAGTCACAATTATTTTGCGTTGAATTTGGTTTATGTGATGTATATATACAAACATTATTGTGAACGACGTTAGACGGTTATATCGTTAAGTATCCCTTTTATGATTTTTTTGCCTATCATTTACCACAAGAAAAGCACCTAAGATAATAATTGACTTCACATTTTGAAAGAAAAATATGTAGACAATTTTATGTTGACTCAATATATTCTAAAAGTTTTATGTGTTGTTCGTGATAGCTTTGAAAGCTAATTTGTTTCTATGGTTAGAAACCTCTATTTTCCCAATTTCTTCAAATCTCTCTGCTCAAGAGAGGTTTAGTCGTGGATCATATATCGTTTACTAACACACCCACTCAAACGAAAGTCACCATATATGGGCTTGAAGTTTGCACAGGTCCGGACACTATGTGTTTAATAGAAACAAATGGGGGTTACCAAGATTCGAACAGAAGACCTCTCGGTCACAGAAGGCTCTAATACCATATTAAGAACCAGTTGATCCCAATAACTCGAGTTGTTGGAGGAGATTCAGTCGTGGATCATATACCGTTTACTAACACCCATTACAAGCCAGATAATAACCAGATAAGAGCAGACAATCCAAAATAAAAAGTATCATCGCATCACTACTTCGACATTAATTACTGCGCAGTTGTATAATTAAAACTATACGATTTTATTAGTTATCATTATTATTACCTCCATTTTGGTTCTATTCCTCATTGCTATATTTCGAAGTTGGCCGACAGCATCTACTAATAAATGAGTGTGACATGACTGGGTTGACTTCCTCCTGCGAGGTTCAAGTCGCCTACGCATCTACTAATAAAAGCCGGATATCACGCCACGAAAGTCAAAAGCATATATCTCTCCCTTGTCCGAACAAAATCTAGCGGTCGAGCTGCCATTTATTATGGCAAGATGTCGTGATCGATGATCTACTCATTCATGGATTGAGTAATCTAACGAAGTTGGCACATGTTGATATCGTATTAAGTGTTTGTCTTCCATTGAAAAAACAGTTGTTCGTGTAACAATTTCGGACTCACGATTGATTGTTACATCATTTTGGATTTGTGGTGCATTTGCTGGGTTTTTTTTATCACGAACCTAGATTAGCGATCATGTAGTACTTGCATTGTGGACGGAATACCAAGTTTACGAGCTAGCAATAGTCAAAGATTGTCGGAGCCGAAAGTACAATTGGGTTGGTAATTGCCACAATCCAAAGTGGCATAATCTCCAATTCTCCATCATGATGAAAGGCTTGTCATATTTGGGGAAGTAGGCCAACTTGCAATGAATTAGTAGGTGATCTAATACACATGAACAAAGTTGACAACACTAATATATAGTAATACTCATTCAGTCAACACTAATATTAGTAATATATAGTAATACTCATTCAGTCGCCCTTTTTTTCATTATCAAGATGAGATCGATACATGAATTATCTTTTACTTTTGCCGACAAGAACAAATGGTCATCCTGTGATCGGTCTGAGTGAGGTCTCAGATTTCACGTACCCTTACTGTCCGGTCTTGATTTGGTCCGATCTTGACCCGGTCCGGTCCCAATTTGATCTTGATTTTAGGTGTTGGGGGTCTCTTATCCGGTCTTTATCCGAGTTTTTTTACCTCAAATCTAAGCCCAAATATGAGATTGGATTGTTTGCTATCCGGTCCCAGTTCGATCCGGTTTCGGGTAAAACCAAACAGTCCGGGACCAAATAGCCAGCCCTACTCCACTGTATCGCCGCTCATCCATAACATAAAGAGCCTACAGAAGTTCATTATTTAATACTTTTCTACGGATCAGGAAAACACGACACACGATTTACATGGTTCAATAACACGATGTGTGTTAGCTAGTCCACGGGCGAGAGAGAGTCAGTTTCACTATATCGAAGAGATTACAGAGGAGATGAGAAGTCTTTATACTTCTCCATGTGGGTCTAAAGCTAATCCAATCTGGTAAAGGAAACGGTTACAGACTAGGTCCAGACTCCGACTATTCCAGTCGTAGGGGCTGATAGTCCAATTCAAGTCACATCAACACTTACAAATAAGAGTTTGGTCTAGTGGTAATACCAATGGTCTTGAATCTGAAGTTATTATTAGATATGAATCACTTAAGTAGCACCTCTAGGCTCTAACCTAAAACTAAATTTATATCATGCTCTTATAAAAACAAATAATACATGCATACCCTTATGTACTTTCTTAAAGGCGCGCTTGTACCCTAAATGAAAAGGTTTCATATCAAATGACTAAACTTTATCACTTTTCTCATTAATTCACATGCTAATACGCAAGAGAGTGATGTAAGATTCATAATCAACTTTTTTCTAACAAATTATTAAGATCAACGATTCATGACATGGTATAAAAGCTTGTTTGATCATGTGGTTGAAGAACAAGGTATGCTCGACCTATACAAATTTCAAACACAGCAAACTTTCATTTGATAGACCGTGCAAATTCATAATTAATGTTCTATCCATTCACTCGAATTCATAGAACCAAATAACAATATCTACATTGACTTTCAAATTTTAACTCTTTTTTTTTTCTCAAACTTTAACTCTAATCTACAAGCACCCATTAGCAAATTAATGACTCTTGAACCGCCACATGCAACAAGGTCAACTACAACAAGTCAAATCCAACTTCACTACCCTTTTTCAGCCGATTATATATCATCATCCCTCTCAAATCCACCAATATGAACCAATTATTAAGAAAATCAGTAAGCCCAAAAACACAAATTAAATGATGCTATCCAAATTCTCTCTTCTCCTTATCCTTCTTCTTCTTCTTCTTCTTCTTCTTCCCTTTCAACTAACACTCGCCCAACCGTCCAATCCCACTTACATAACTCACGTCTGCCCCACCGCCACAGCTTTCACTCCAAACTCTACCTTCGCCACCAACCTCAACGCCCTCCTCTCCCTCTTTTCCACCGCCGCCACCGCCGGCGCCCCCTTCCACTACGCCGCCGCCGGCAACCAGTCCTTCCTCCCCGACACGGCCGCCGCCTACGGCCTCTACCTCTGCCGGGGCGACACCACCCCGAAAGAATGCCAAGACTGCGTCAACTTCGCCGCCTCCCGCACCGCCCAGCACTGCCAGAACCGGAAAACCGCCGTCATCTGGTTCGACCGCTGTATGGTTCGCTACTCGAACCGGTCGAGCTTCTCGGTCCAGCCGGACACGTTCGTCCTGTGCAATAATATTAATACCACAAACGCAACAAAACCAGACCGGTTCAACCAGCTGGTGACCCGGCTTATGAGAGAGATCATCGCCGAGGCGGCTGCGGGGGAATCTAAGAAGTTTGCGACTAAGTCCGACGTGGCGGCGCCTTCTCGGTCGGTTTATACGATGGCTCAGTGCACGAACGACTTGTCCGGCGAAAACTGCGACCGATGCCTGAGGACGTGTCTGAGCTTGCTTCCGTCTTGCTGTAATAGTGGAAAGCAAGGCGGAAGGGTTCTGCTTCCTAGCTGTAACATCAGATACGAATCCCATCCTTTTTATAGAGAAACTGCCACGACTGAAGTAAAAACATGTTTGTTCGCTTTGCTATAGGAGTAATTAACCACGCACTGTTCTGTCCTGGTGTACGTTTTCTTTATGCATGCAGGCGAGAGAAGCGGGATATCATCGGGAGCAATAATAGCCGCCATCGGGGTTCCAGTTGCCGTTTTCATGTGGATAGTAGGCGGCCTAGCTTGCTGCTTCATCAACAATAGAATGAGATCATCATCAACTAGAAAGAAGCTTAAGCTAGTTCACAACGCTGCTTCTGGAGACCCAAATGGACGAAATTGGTGGCGCTTTTCAATTGGTTTGGTCGTATTATATTATTACTCTCTTCAGTTACATTATACCATTTGCTCCCGCGGCGGATTGCATACTAACACTGTGTTTTTGCTCCCTGGAACTTGGGCTCAGAAGAAAACGAGATCACCAATGCCGAGTCCCTGCAGTTCGACCTGGCCACCATCGAAGCCGCAACCAGTAACTACGACCCTCGTAATAAACTTGGACAAGGTGGATTCGGCGAGGTTTATAGGGTACGTAAGAGAGAACAACTTTTAAGTTTTACCCTGAAAATGTTACTTTGAGCTCGAATTCTTGATTTTGCATTGGCTAATCCATCTATATATATATTTGGAACTTTGGTGTATATTTTAGGGCACCCTCATTACCGGAGAAGAAATAGCGGTGAAAAGACTGTCGAAAAGCTCGGGACAAGGAGAGGAAGAGTTCAAGAACGAGGTTCTGCTAGTGGCCAAACTTCAACACAAGAATCTAGTCAGGCTGTTAGGGTTTTGCTTGGAAGGGGACGAGAGAATACTCGTCTACGAATTCGTCCCCAACAAGAGCCTCGACCATTTTCTCTACGGTTAGTACTAAAACCAAACTTAACTTACACAAAGTAAAAAAACCCTAACAAACCACACCTGATTCCAAGCTGATTCATGTCAAAAACGATATTTTCATACATCAATACTCAGATTGTGTAGAGAGAAACCCATCGAAAGTTATTTCTTTGGATAATCTTTCTCCCTTCATGTATTACCTGCAGCTGAGGAAAGGAAAATGTTGTTAAATTGGCCATCACGACACCACATAATACTCGGAATTGCTCGAGGGACTCTTTATCTCCACGAGGATTCTCGGCTTAAGATCATACATCGTGACCTCAAGGCTAGCAACATCTTGTTGGACAAGGATATGAAGCCCAAGATTTCAGATTTTGGGATGGCTAGGATCTTCGGAGTTGATCAAACTCAGGCAAATACGAACAAAATTGTCGGCACTTTGTAAGTCATCAATTAATATATACGCCGTCAAAATTATTACGTATGAAATCGAGGATCCGCAAGCCCTTCGGTTATGTACTCATTAGTTAAGTACAATACATGTCCATCAAAACGAAAGTAAATTTGTAGTGTCGTCGTATCTTATACGCAAGATCTCAATTGCATATAATATGGATGGACTGATAAGTTGCGAAACACGATACCTATAATCCTATATATATAAAAAGTCAATATTTTACTCCAATTAATAAAACTCACACACAATTTCAATTTTAAGTATAGACTTTGTGATTACAATATTATCTTTCTCTTCATATTTCTAATCCAACTAGTTTTTTTTGTTGATTTTAGTGGCTACATGTCTCCAGAATACGCAATGTACGGACAATTCTCAGAGAAATCTGATGTGTACAGCTTTGGAGTCTTGCTCCTGGAGATCATAACTGGATTGAAAAACTCCACCTTCACCAAAAAGGATGGTGCCCAAGACCTCCTTGGCTACGTAAGTATAGTATATTGAGAGCTCCGTTTTCACATAATCGAATATTATTGGTATTCTATTGTTTGTTAATTATTAGAAAAAAAAAGTAATGAAATTATGAAAGATTCATTTTTTTAGCATATCTCAATACTTATGTCTCCCAGGTTTGGAAGAACTGGAAGGATGGGACGCCATTGGAAGTGTTGGACGCGACGTTGCTGGATTCCTATTCCTACAATGAAGTCCTTAGATGCATTCATGTTGGTTTGCTGTGCGTACAAGAACATGCGGCTGATAGGCCGACGATGGCGACGGTGGCTCTAATGCTGAGTGGCTACTCCGTTAGTCAACCGTTGCTGCCCAAGCAGCCGGCGTTTTTCTCTCCGACCAGCTGCAGCTCGGCTGTCGGCAGCGGCCGCGGTGGCCGAGGAACAAGGCAAGTGGTGGTGGTGGTGGTGGAGAGTGGCCAATCAGGTGACAAGTCGATTAATGAGGCTTCCATCACTGACATGTATCCTAGATAATTAACAATGCTGTATACTAATTATTACTAGCTAGCTGGCTAGTAAGGGCTTTGAATTTCCTTTAAGTTGAATTATTTTGTGATTGGAAGTTGTTCATTATATATGTAGTCAAGAGCAAAGTCAGGATTATTATTTAAAAGATTATTATGTGGATATTCAACCTAGAGAGGACATATCATATTACATATCTAGCATATCATTTTACCCTTTTTCCTAAGAAGCATAGTTAGTAAATAATTCATTTAATACACGTATATATGGCCATGCGTATTTTATCAGTTTAAACCTTTCGTATCCATATTATTGTCAAGACGTTTCATTTTGTCCCGTTCATTTTATGCCTCTCATACTCAATCGTATAACACGTTTAATATATGTATTTAATGAATTAAATGACTAACTTAACTATTATTTTTTATATCGTAAATTTTCTATATAATTATGTTTATATATTTTATAATTATTGACGTATTATTATATTGAATAACATATTTTATACGCAACTTATCCGTGCAGTATATTACTTACTATGCCAAGAAATAGATTTTATTGAGTAACATATGTAGTTGGATGTAGACATGACATAAGAAGATATATATATAGAAAAATGGTATAGCCCAATGATCTAAAACCTAATTTTCACTATAGAGAAAGCAATTTAAAAAAAAAATAGTTTTAGAAGTCAAAAAGTAACTTAACACTATCTTCTACTTTCTAATATAAAAGCGAACCTGACTAAATGTGACATGACTGGCCAAATCACCTGCTCATCCTCTTTCTTCCACCTTCACCTTCGCAGAAGGCACTTTCTCATTGTTAAACAAATCCATATAGTTAAGCCTACTTGTACATGTCCAAACAACAGTCAAGAATTTGCATACGTGATTGTCCAAATCAATGTGAATTCTCAATTGGAAAAAAAAGGTTAAACTAATTCGACTAATAAGTCAAGGATGCGAATTCTCACACTAGGTCTTGTGTTATATAACTCCCAAATCCACCAATGACCAAACTCAACCATCTTTCATTCTTTTCTCCCACAACTTTCCAAAACCATGATCCCCTCCAAATTGTCTCTTCTACTTGTCCTTCTCTCCATCCAAATTACCACCACGGTCCTCGCACAATCACCCGATCCCGTTTACCTCACCCATGTTTGCCCCAACGCAACAAGCTTCCCTCCAAACTCCACCTTCGGCTCCAACCTCAACCTCCTCCTCTCCAACCTCTCCGCCGCTGCCGCCAACGGCGAAGGCTTCCACTACGCCGAATCCACCGCCGGAAACGACTCCTCCTCCGCCACCTACGGGCTCTACCTCTGCCGCGGCGACATCACCCCGAAGGAGTGCCAAAACTGCATCGACTTCGCCACCACCGACACCCTCAACCACTGCCCGAACCAAAAAACCGCCATCGTATGGTACGACCGGTGCCTGGTCCGTTACTCGAACCGGTCGGCCTTCTCGGTCCAGCCGGACACGTTCATGCTCTACAACACCCGCAACGTGTCCGAACCCGACCGGTTCAACGAGCTGCTCGGTCGGGTGATGAACGAGATCGTGGCCGAGGCGGCTAATGGAGAGGCCAAGAAGTTCGCCACGAAGGGCGTCGAGTTGTCGGCTTTTCAGTCGCTTTACACGCTGGCTCAGTGTACGGATGACTTGTCCGAGGAGAATTGCGATCGGTGCTTGAGGACTTGTTTGAGCTTGCTCCCGAGTTGTTGTGGCGGGAAGCAGGGCGGGAGGGTTCTGCTTCCCAGCTGTAACATTAGGTACGAGGTGTACCCTTTCTATGAGGGAGCTGCTGTCGCGACAGCAGCTCCGCCATATGGGGAGCTGGCGAGTTCGCCATCTCCGTCTCCGGTGGAAACAACGTGGACCGATGATCAAGGTATGTTGTGAATTATGGTTGTTGTAAGTAGTTTAATGTATATATATATATAGGTCAAAATGTTCTATTATATATTTCAAATATTTTTATTGAGATATATCTATTTAGATAATGATTTAAACCGAATTTGGAGTATAGTACTATACCTTAACCTTAAATAAATAAATTCCGGGCATCAATTTTCTAAATCCAAACCCGAAGGTCCATCTAATGCAAATTAATAATAAAAAAACTCTAACTCATCGAATTACAATAAAGAATACTCTTATATGATATACTTCTAAAAGACACCCATCATTAATTACCATATATATATATATATATATGGGAAGTTCTACGGTACCCAGGGTGAAATCCGGGGTACCGCATACCTTGAGTAAGAAAACGCTATCCAGAACTTGAATTCACTGATCTTTCGGACATGGTACTATAATCTAACTCTTAAAGATCAAAATCTAGGTCTTAATTCTCTAAACCTTGTACCCCAAGATCAATTTAATTAGAATTAATAATCGACGGTTATGATTCGTCCAAATATAAGCAACAAAACAATGCACCATCTTAGGGTTTATAGTTTATGATTTAGATAATTAGGACCTAGGGTTCACTCATTAAGGGTTAGGGTATAATATCATGCCCAGAAATCCTGCTAATTCGAGGTCTAGATAACGTTTTCATACTCAAGGTATGCGGTACCCCAGATTTCACCCGGGGTACCGTAGAAGGCACCATATATATATATATTTTGTTAGTGGTATCATCGTATATCTACCTTGGATTTTCTTATACCGTTTGGTCCGTTTCATTGGTAGTTTAATGTGATTAACATTATAGTTTAGCTTAGTGCCACTACTTTTTTAGGGATTAGTGGTGAAGTTGTTGGAAGTCTGACAATTGACGACAAACTAGAACAACCCCATCAACTATCAATTCAAATGGGAGAAGGTAAAACCAAAAAATTTAGTTATATTTTGTCAACATATCCATGACTTTCATCTCTCACTAGTGGGATAAACTAATTAAAGACGCTAATTATAAAGTCACTTTACAGAAATATAACTGTACAAGGCTATCATTATAGAAATAATCAAATAAAAATAGTGGGAATCTCTAGTTAGCTAAACACCACCATGGTTCTTTATGGTTGTACGAACTATGAAGTGTATATAAACATAATGATGACAAAAACTTAGCAAGTTGAACCTGTTTCTTTACATTACATATATCATATATAATATCGATCCACGTCGATCTGTAGTACTTTACGTGCATCCGCATGCATGCAGGCGGCGGCCGGATCTCATCGGGAGTAATAGCCGCCATCGTGGCTCCGATCGCTGTTTTCGCTTGGATTTTGGGCCTAGGTTGCTGCTTCCTCAGCAGTCGGAGAAGAAGAGCAACCAGAAAGCTCCTATTGTTGCACAATAGTACTATTGCTACACAAGAGCCGGTTAATTGTGGTATATGTGCTGTTTTTTTAGTTACACGGTCTTTATTATATCTCGGTCAATTGCATTAATATTTATTGGTCAATAAATAGTTATGCGGGCCGGTCACATTTTGATACATTAGTCACTAAAAGATTTGATTATTGACAGACATATAAAAGTAAGTAACTCAAATTTCCACCTTAATTTGTTAGGTTTTTGTGGGAATTGTGTACTAAATCAGTACGTATAAACGGTAATTATCAAGTTTGGTTTAGATCTAGTGTGACTATGTGAGTAAAAGAATTCATACATGTTAATTTTTTCAAAGCTACGACCGTTTTGACCTGCTCATAAAAATAATTTATGTGAATATCACGTTAAATTAGACAACAAAATTATATAAATTTTTTATATTTCGAACCTTAGTGGTAAGTTTGTTGAAAATAAAAAAAAGGTTTTGGTGACGATTTATGTTTGCTTTCGTACGAAGGCGTTTACCCCCACCATAAGTCCATACTTTTCTTTTTCCATGTCATATGAATTGGTCCAGAAGAAAACGAGATCCCAAATGCAGAGTCTCTACAATTTGACCTGGCAACCATAGAAGCCGCCACTGAAAACTTTGTCGAAGGCAACAAACTTGGACAAGGTGGATTCGGCGTGGTGTATAGGGTAAAAGATCGAATTAGCTTCTTCTAAAATTACTCTAATCCAGCATCTAGAACTTTTACCATTATATCCATCATCCATCGTCTTTCAAACTGTGGGACTATATCTTTAGGGCACACTCACGACCGGAGAAGAGATAGCAGTGAAGCGACTGTCGAAAAGTTCAGGACAAGGGGAGGAAGAATTCAAGAACGAGGTGTTGTTGGTCGCCAAGCTTCAACACAGGAACCTAGTCAAGCTCTTAGGGTTTTGCTTAGAAGGGGACGAGAGAATACTCGTCTACGAATTCGTCCCCAACAAGAGCCTTGACCATTTTCTCTATGGTATATTTGTTTGTACTAAGTGCAAAGACGAGAACGGTCATAATCGGACGGATTATACAAACGATAATTTTCCTAACAGTATATTGTACATTAACCATGCAGCTGATGAAATGAAAATGTTGCTGGATTGGGCATCCCGTTACCATATAATAGCCGGAATCGCTCGAGGGATTCTCTATCTCCACGAGGACTCTCGACTTAAGATCATACATCGCGACCTCAAGGCTAGTAATATCTTGTTGGACAAGGACATGAAGCCTAAGATTTCTGATTTTGGGATGGCAAGGATCTTCGGTGTTGACCAGACTCAGGCAAACACCAACAGAATCGTCGGCACTTAGTAAGTCCTGATCATAACAACTCTATATTCATATATCATCTTCCAAAATCATCCAAATTTAACAGCTCTTTCTTCGATTTTTTTTAGTGGCTATATGTCTCCCGAGTATGCAATGTACGGACAGTTCTCGGCAAAATCCGACGTGTACAGCTTTGGCGTCTTGCTCTTGGAGATCATAACTGGATTGAGGAACTCCACCTTCACCAAAAAGGATGGAGCCCAAGACCTCCTTGGCTACGTGAGTATAGTATATATTACGATGAAAACTCCACCTTTTTCCCATTCGAAGACTTTCCATTTCCTCTTTTTTTTGGGCAACGAGTCGTGTTCATATGTACATGTGTAATCATAGGTGTGGAGGAATTGGAGGGACGGGACGCCATTGGAGGTGCTGGATGCCACGCTGCTGGATTCGTGTTCCACCAACGAGGTCATGAGATGCATTTACATCGGCCTGCTTTGCGTCCAGGAGAATCCGGCCGATAGGCCAACAATGGCGGCGGTGGTTCTGATGCTCAGCGGCTACTCCGTTAGCCACCTATTGCCTAAACAACCCGCGTTTTTCTCCCCGACGAGGGCTACCGGCGGCGGCGGGAGAAGAACCGAGCTGATGGTGTTGGCGGATCAGAGTGATCATTCGGGAAGCAAGTCGGTCTTGTGGTCGATTGATGAGGCTTCCATTACTGACATATACCCGAGGTGAAGGTGACGAGTAGTGCTTGAGTAATAAAAGATGGAAATGGTTGATGTATGCATGGTGATTAATTAGAAAGGGTTAGGGCATGAAAGATGGTAAAATTATGTCATTAGAGGTTGGAAGTTATGTGTACGGAAACTGTTATAAACTTAATATAATTGATTAATGGATTAAATTACAATGTCAGTGGTTACTAGGAAGTTGTAAGTTAAACATGTACACGATACATTGTATTGTATACTATTTGTTGGAGAAGAAAACCAATCTCAATCATATTACCAAAAAACTTTGAAAATTGGACTGTTCCGTATTACATTTATACAGTGTCGGTTAATTTACAGAGAACAAAACATAAATTAAAACAAATGTTACACCTCAATCCTATACTAATTTTGATCCTTCAAAAACCCCTCTCAAAGTATCTATTTTGGCCAGATTGTTGGAGAATTAGATATGCAAAAACAGCAACATGCATAGATTTGGTGAAGACGTTGGTATTGCTTTTTTTAGAGGTTAGTGGTGAAGTTGTTGGAAGTCTGACAATATAATTGACAAACCGAAACAACCCTATCAACTGATCAATTGAAAATGGGAGAAGGTAAAACCAAGAACTTTGGCTATGTTCTATCAACATATACATGACTCTTTTTTTTATTTCTCATTAGTGGAACAATAAACTAATTAAAGTCTCTAATTATAAAGTGACTTTATGGAAGTACAAATACGTTAACTATTCTTGAATTGATAGTGGACAAAATTTTATAGAACATGATTGACGACAAATTAATTCTTTAACAAGAGTGTGAACCTGTTTTGTGAATCTCTACAAGTGCACTGATACTTCTCTCTCGCTCTGAGAGCTCGGTTTCTCTGCTCCTCCCGTGAGCCGTGTTTTTAATCCTCAAGCCTGTGCTTGCGACTGTTAATCTTCTTCCATCTCCTTTTCCTTCCCCAAGTTCCCCCTCTCTTTTCCATCCTTACCCATATTTTATGTTTACTTGTCAGTCGACTGAAGTCTTATGGCATCAGAAATAGAGAAAAAGTTAATAAACTTTCACTTGTCTGAGGAAGAAGCGAATGTTGTCAGCGTAGAAGAAGAAGATGTTGATGTTAGAGTAGAAGAAGCGATTGAAGGATGGGGAGCGGTGGGATCTCTTCAAGGAAACAGAGCACCTGGAGTCAAGTATTTGAAGACAGCTTTAAGCGCCGCTTGGAAACCGAGGAAGGAGTTCATTGTACACTCGGTAGGGGAACGCCTATTTACATTCCAGTTTTTCAGTAATGAAGATCGGCAAAAGGCCCTCCACGGAGGACCATGGCACTTCGATAATCAGCTTATGGTGTTCAAACCAATTGAAAGAGACAAAGAAGCAACTGAAATGGATTTTAGCGAGACAGAAATATGGGTTCGAATCCGGAAGATCCCACCAAAGATGAGGACGGATAAAATGGCAGAAAAGATTGGAGCGATGTTTGGCTCACTCAAAGTTTTTGATGCAGATAATTCAGGGCCATGGAGTAGCTACATGAGACTGAGAGTCACTATTAATGTAAGCAGACCTCTAAGAAGAGGAGTTCTATTAGCGGTGGAAAAAGGAAATGTTTGGTATAAGGTTGCATATGAGAAACTACCGAATTTCTGCTATAATTGTGGAATTCTTGACCATTTGAAGAAGAACTGCGAAGAGGCGATTATCCCAGAGGAAGAATCTCAGTATGGAAATTGGTTAAGAGCTCTATCTCCAGTAAAAAAGGTGAATTCAAAAGGAAGAATGGACGCAGGAAGGCTAAAAACATTGTGGTCGGAAGCCAAACAGAAGAAGGCCGGAGAAGATTCCGGCGAGAAGGCAGATAAAAGGGAAGACAATCCGACGACGGTTGATGTTCCTCCTAAAACGCCGCGAATTAGACTTTTTGACATAATCAAGGAGGTGCAAGAGGATCAAGGAAGAATTAATGACGGTAATGGAAGCAACAGCCTTGGAGAACGGAACGGTGAAAGTGGAACTTTACAGCTAGATATAATAAGTGAGGAAGAAGCAGGAGAAGGGGAAAAGAAAGAAGAAAAGGAAAATAAAAAAGAAGAAGAAAGGGCTGGTATAATAAATCAGGAATTCTCGGGCCTAGCCATAGAGGGTCGAGAAGCCCAAGTGGAAATGCAAGAAGGTAAAACAAAAGCCCAAACTATTATGGGAATTGTAGTGGCAGGGAAAAGCAGAGGCCCAAACACGTGGACTAGACTAAAAAAGGAAGGCCGAAAAGGAGAAGGGGGTGATCAGATAGTAGTAACAGGAGGGAAAAGAAGAAATGAAGATGACATGGACATTGACTATGAAGAAGAAGGGAAACACAAAGGAAAAGAAGGGAAAAAGTACAGGAAAAGTGCAGCAATAAACCCAACAGAACCAGAGGCGGACCTTGCCGAGTTGCAAGGCCGCCTATCACAATGAATCTCTTAAGCCTCAACTGTCAGGGGTTGGGGAATCCTCTGGCAGTTGCTTCTCTAAAATCGGTGACCCGATTTCATAATCCCCAAATAGTGTTCTTGATGGAAACCCATCTAGCGAAGGATGGATGGGAGAAGGTGAGGAAGGAATGTGGATATGAGAGTGCAGATGGCTTTCCAGCGGAAGGGAGTTCAGGAGGTCTTTGCTTACTTTGGAGAAAGGAGGTTAAAATTTCTATAAGGAAGAGTGAGAAGAATTTTATTGATGCAGATGTTCAGGAATTTGAAGGAAACAGGAAGTGGAGATTTACGGGTGTTTATGGTTGGCCAGAGAGAGAGAATCATCATCTAACGTGGGAATTACTGAGGAATCTTCATGATGATAAAGATGAAGCTTGGATATGTGCAGGTGACTTTAACCAAATCTGCTCAAATGCTGAAAAGGCTGGGGGTCGTCTGGTACAAGAAAGCAGGTTAATGGGCTTTAATAATGCTTTGTCGGATTGTGGGCTTATTGACTTGGGCTTCATTGGCTATCCCTACACTTGGGATAATAGACGAAACGAACCTGCACTCATAGAGGAAAGATTAGATCGGGCAGTGGCTAATAAAAAATGGTTGGACCTAAACCCAAGGGTTACAGTTATACATCTGGAAGAAGTGGACTCTGACCATTTACCTATTCTTATTGACTTTGAAGGGGAGAAGGAGATCGAAATCAGGTGGGGAAGAAATTTCAGGTTTGAATCATTCTGGGCAAAAGAGGAGGGAAGTAATCTGATTGTGAGTGAAGTTTGGGAGAGGGCAGGGGTTGAGAGTTTGGAGGATAGCCTTAAGCAGTGCGAAGTTAAACTTACTAAATGGAGCTCGGAGAAGTTTGGGGAAATCCCAAAAAGAATTGCGCAAATCAGAAGGAAGATAAAAGAGATGAAGACTCAAGTGAAAAATGCTACTTGGAGATCCAGGAAAAGAGAGCTGGAGATAGAGCTACAAGATCTTCTATACAAAAACGAGCAGCGATGGAAGCAGCGCTCACGAATGGAATGGTTAAAGGAAGGGGAGAAGAATACAAAGGCTTTCCACGCCAAGGCTTCTGAGCGAAGAAAGAAGAATACAATTCGAAAATTAAAGGATGATAGCGGAAGGATCTACAGGGGACAAGAAGAAGTTAGTGAGTGTCTTACAACCTATTATGTTGACCTGTTTACCAGCAGAAGTGGAGGAGCAAATTGGAAGGTTATTGAAGCAGTTGAGCAAAAGGTAACTGATGATATGAATCAAAAACTTCTACGCCCTTTTACGGCTGATGAGATACAAAAAGCTCTATTTCAACTTGGAGCAACAAAAGCCCCAGGAGATGATGGCTTCCCTGCTTTGTTCTTCCAAAAGAATTGGAATGCGATGGCTAGCAGAGTGACTGCAGAATTGACAATTTTCTCCATAATGGCAGTTTCCCGGCTAGCCTCAACAGAACTCTGATTGCTCTGGTTCCAAAGGTAAAATCTCCAGCAAATCCTAAAGATTTCAGACCCATCAGTCTTTGTACTGTCCTCTACAAAATCCTTTCTAAGACGGTTGCCAATCGTTTAAAAGGTATTTTAGATGAGTTGATTTGTGATTCGCAGAGCGCTTTCGTCCCTGGAAGATCGATAATTGATAATGTTATTGCTGCCTTCGAATGTTTCAACACCATGAAGAAGAAATCAAAAGGTGATAAAGGGTTCTTAGCTTTAAAACTTGATATGGCAAAAGCTTATGATCGGGTTGAATGGGGTTTTCTGGAAAGAATTATGAGGAAGATGGGATTTCATGAAAAATGGATCAATTTGATTATGGTCTGTGTTTCCTCTGTCTCATATGCAGTATTGGTGAATGGGCATAAGTCAAATTTCTTCAACCCTGGTAGAGGCTTGCGGCAGGGAGACCCACTCTCCCCCTACCTCTTCTTGCTGTGCTCTGAAGGACTCTCTGCTCTGGTGAATAAGTATGGAAAAGAAGGAAAGATTCATGGGATAAAAATCTGTAATAAAGCTCCTGTTATTTCACACTTATTATTTGCCGATGATTGTGTGATTTTTGCCAGGGCTAACATCCAGGAAGCAAGGAATCTTAAGGAAGTCTTGAAGTTGTATGAACTGGATTCTGGTCAAATGGTGAACTTGGGAACATCAAAGGAGATAAGAGGAAGGAAATCTGTACTGAGATGGGAATCAAGGAGGTGGACAAACTGGCCAAGTACTTGGGGCTACCTACCATGGTGGGCAGATCAAAGAAAGTAGTCTTTCAAAATTTGCAGGAAAGAGTCAGAAGCAAACTTACAAATTGGAAGAGCAGGTATTTCAGTGAGGCAGGAAAAGAGATTCTTATTAAAAGTGTTGCTCAAGCCCAAACCACTTATGCAATGTCTGTTTTTAGAATCCCTGATGGAATAATTGATGATATCCACAGCCTTATGGCAAACTACTGGTGGGGGCAGAAAGGAACGGAAAGAAGGATTCACTGGAGAAAATGGGAGAATTTGTGCAGGCCAAAGGAAGATGGAGGGATGGGGTTCAGGGATCTAAAGATTTTCAATAAAGCCATGCTTGCAAAGCAGCTTTGGAACATTCATATTAGACCTACCTCTTTGGTGGCTCGGCTGCTCAAAGCTAAGTACCATCCGCGTACTTCAATATTGGAAGCAAAATTGGGATGGAGGCCAAGCTATGTCTGGAGGAGTTTAATGGGAGCATTGGATCTATTGAACTTTGGAAGTCGTTGGAGAATTGGCTCGGGAGAGGAAGTCAGAATTTGAGGAGATAAATGGGTCCCTAATCTGGTTAATAATGAGGTTTACTCCTATTGCCCTTTCCTGGATTGGGATGCCAAAGTTTCCAGCCTTATTGATCAAGAAACAAGAACTTGGAGAAAGGACTTACTGGAGATCATTTTTTCTGAGGAAGAACAGCAGGCAATATTGGCAATTCCTCTGTCTCCAGTCATTGACAATGATGTCTTATGCTGGACGGATTCTGAAGATGGGAACTACACTGTCAAGTCTGGTTATCTTACTGAACAAAGAAGAAGACAAGAGGAAAGTACAGATGGTATGTCAAATGCAGAAAATGGCTTCTGTTGGAAGGAGGTGTGGAAACTAAAGATACCAGGGAAGATTAAAGCTTTTATTTGGAAAGCAGCACATAATATTCTTCCAGTGGGGGCCAAAATCAGTAAAAAGGTCAAGCAAATGGGTGACGAATGTCCAAACTGTGGCCTTAGAGAAACCCTTAAACATTGTCTGGTGGAATGCAGTTGGAACTCTAGAATCTGGAGTAAAACCCCCCTGGCAGAAATGTTCTACAAAGCTGAAGGATTGACGTGCAGAAAGTGGCTTATGGAGATCCTGAAGAACTACTCGAATAAGGAGGTTGCTCAATTCTGCTCTCTAATCTGGTTTTTCTGGAAAGACAGGAATAACTTCCTATTTAATAACAAATTTATGCAGGAGTGGGAGGTTTTTCCTCGTGCGGATGACTTTATCCAGTGTTTTATGGAAGTTTAGGGGAAGGATGATACAATTACTAGACAGAACTGTAGGGAAAACTGCAAGTGGAAAAAACCTCCTGTTGGAGTCTTTAAATTGAACACAGATGCTGGAACCACAAACAGGGGAGAAGTGGGTCTGGGTTGCATTTTAAGGGACTGGAACGGAGCTGCTGTGTTTGCAGCTAACAAGAGAGTCAAAGTCAAATGGCCACCTGATGTGGCTGAAGGAATGGCTATTCTGTTTGGCTTGAAGTTAGTAGCTGATTGGGGAGGTGGATCAGTAGTTGTGGAGTCGGATTGCAAGAAGATTATTCATTTGCTCAAGAATGCAAAGATTTGCAGAACTGAAGTGGGCAGCGTGTGTGAAGACATTTTGAGATTGGCTGAGAATTTGGACATTAGAGACTGGTTGTTTACCTACAGGGAGGCGAATAGTGTGGCTCATCAGTTAGCTCATTTTACTTCTAGTTCTGAGGAAGTGATGTTCTGGAACAGTTCTTTTCCATGTATTGTTGCAGATGCTGTAGCCCTTGAGGCAACTTTTTCTTAATTTAATGAAATCCAAATCAGTTTTTCCCTCAAAAAAAAAATCTCTACAAATACATTAACTATTCTTAAAATCCTCAACTCAGATGTCGGTTAGAAGAGGAACATATAGGGATAAGTGTTTAACGGGGTACGTACATGACACTAATTAAGGTAGTATTACGTGGGATATAAATGCTTTTCACGTTCGACCTAATACATTGCAATGTAAAAATGATATATTTTTGTTGTTGAAAATATAAGATACTGAATATAATTATATATAATATAAGAAAAACAGACATTCAAATTTCAAGTCTCTGTAATATCGAATCGTAGATGTAAAACACAACGATCCATACCATAAGAACCAAAGCCACGTAAGCAAGGAATGGTTCCAAGAGGTCACGAATCTCCGCGCAGATTGGGCCCCTGTTTGCATCCCAAACTTAACATAGTCATTGCCTCCTCAGCATTTGTAAGGTAACGACCGGAGCATAGTCTGCGTACAAACAATCTACAGTATCATTTATAGTGGAAAAGTAAAACTGCATCCCCCATTCAAATTTCCGTGTCCTTAGAGTGATTTACGGAGCTGACGTGGCTCCGCGTTTAGGCGGGGTTTTCCCTCTTCTCTTCGTGGAACCGCAATAATCCTTCTTCGTTTTCCTTTCTCTTTCCCACAACAAAACTCCTTTCTCCGATTTCCCTTCCTTCCACTCTTTCACCTCATTCGAATAAGTTTCTTGGCCTTCAGAAAACCAAACCTTGACTCAATCATCTGGTTCTTTTATCTGCTTGCATCTACCTTTGATTTCCGTTCTCTAAGCGTTAGATCGGTATTGGTTTTGCCGTAAGTTATTCTTCCTCTTTCAGATTTCTATTTGTTGTTGTCGCTGCTTTTAGGGATTCGGGTTTTGGGTTCTTTTTTCAGGGATTCGGTTGCAAAGATTCATCCCCATTGCAACCCATTTAGAGAATCGGTCACTTGGAATCGCTATTCTGTTCTGATTTCTACAGGATAATTACAAGATAACCCAACTACTTTGGTTGACAACGATTTCCCAATGCTGTTTTTGCGTGCGTCCTTCAAGTTCTGATGCAACCATGGTTGGATTGAGAGTATTTTTCCGTTGCTTGCTGCAGGTTCTTTAAACACTGATAAGAATGGCTCTTTCTGTACTCATCGTTACTCTTGATTTGCTGCTATTCCGTGCTCTATCTTTAACGTTGGGCACCTAAAGTTACGGCCCACTAATACCCCAGCGGTTACCCACCCAATTCGCGGCGAAGATCATAGTTGCCCGAGTCAGCGTCGTCTCCTCCTCCGCTTCACCTGCACGCTTCCTCTGCTACCCAGCTGAAGATCTCGGTGTTCCTCAGCTCTTCCCACCGCCTGCAACTACCTTCCCCACACTGATTCCTCCTCTACCAATGGATTGTCTATAGGTATGCCTTCGTCCTCCCGTAATGCTATCCAAGATTTTGTCGAATACGGAAATTCGAAGAATCGGCTTAAACACTATTAGTTTTCCGCTAACCTCTCATCAGCTCCAAATGATGAATCCGTTTTCATTTTGCGACTACCTTCACTTCGGCCCCGATTTCAATTAAATCATTATGTGGAACAAGCCATCAATTTGGTGGCGTCCAGTCTTCCTGTGTGCTTCAAAATCAACGACTTCAATCAATAAAGGAATCCCACTCATTGTTTCCGGTCTTTCTTCTATGTTAATGATAGGTTTGCTTGGAGAGTATTTTTGCTTTGTTTACTGGAGGTTCTATAAGCTCTACTAAGATTATCTCTTTTTGTAGTTTGTACTCATCCTTGCTCTTGCTTTGCTGCTACTCGGTGCTGTGTCCATATCTTTCATGCATATAAGAAGTATTTATCTATTATGTTCACTGCGTGAAAGTTTGGATTGAATTACCCTGCTGCCAAAATGTATTTGCTGTTATGCTTTAGTCTTCAAACTTATAATTCAAACAAAAGGCCAATCAATGTGCAAGGAGAGCTACGAAACAGACCAAACATAAACTTTTCACCACCTGCCCCTCTCTTATAAGTGTAGCTTGAAATAGTGAATTGCGGCATGTATTGATCATAATGTTCCCTTCTTGTGCTTACAGAAGCCGATGGTTGTTCCTTGGAGGTTAGTGCCCTGGTAGTGCATAATCTTAGTGCTGGAATTGAAGTCCTTGCTGAATATGGCTCTCAGAATAATTTTCATGAAAAGTCATTTGCATAACCACCATGCGTACCAGCGACCGCATCTCTTGAACAAAGTATGTTTCAAATTATATGCGTACTTACATTTGCCCCCCCCCCCAAATAAATTGAAGCATTTAGTTGCAATGAGAATGAGTTTTAAAAGTGGATCCTGATCAATTTTTAATTATAACCCTCTACTGGCAGCCCAAGTAATTCAGGATCATGTTTACCAAGTTACATTTGTTAATGGCAACTTCATTTGGTTCCTGAATTGAGGAGTACATATCATAAAACCATGACTTTACTTTGGTTGGGATAATACTGGCTGCGTACAAGGGTTGATTGTGTTTTTAATCAGATAAACATGGTTCTCTTCACACTGATTCTTATGCTTCTCAAATTGATGTGTCGCCTACTGCATTGTTGCGTTGTTGCTGTCTCCTTGATATGCTACATTCTTTTTGTGTTGTTGCTATTATAAGAATAATAACTAGCTAGGAATCAAATCCATGATTATTGAACATAATTTTGAAAGAAATCATAGTTAGCCAAATTCCTAAATTTTTTACTAAATGATACTTTCTTTTCATGGCTTCATTGTTCGTGGATTATTTTCTGATTTTGGTATGATTTGAGAAGATTTGTGGATTTAATAGAGCAAAACTTTCCCCTTAAGGTTTTGTTCTTCAAAAGTATTATTCTGTCACGGTAAGTAGTTGCAAATCATGACTTTTTGTTAATTTTGGTTCCAAAATTCACACTACAAGTAGCTTCCCGAAAGAATGTCTTTCGATATGGGCGACATTAATTCAAAAATGGATCTTCAAGTTATAAGAGTTTGAAATGGAAGAGCATGTATCATTTGACGAAATAGCACTAATCATGAAATTTTTTAAATGGCTTAAGATTATTTTGGATGCTCACTTTATCTCTTTAGTTGTGTCTTCTTCGTTGATGCCTTTACTGCTCTGCTATTTGTGGAAACTTAATTAGTAGCTAACTATCATGTTTTGGTTCCTTCTGCATGTGGATTGAGACTTATGGGTCTGCCTTGATTTCATGAGTCTTAGTGATTTTTATGTCCAGAATGTAATAGCTCCCGCCACTTAGTCATGTGGGAGAGTTATTGTCTACATACCAAAGCTCTCTTCTTCATCACTCAATAGCTAATAAGTTACATGTATTTATATCAGTTCATCATTTACTTTTTGTGTGAGGATAGATGCAGTTTGGTCCATCAAGGATTTTTTTTTTTTTGTCTTTCTCAAGAAACGATGGATATAATGATCTGTTCTTTTCTGTTTATGCATTTCGTGTCATTACATACCACAAACTTCTGATGGCCGAGGAGTTCAGTTTCTGTACCAACGGTTCCATTATTTCTCTTAATGGCAGCTGCAAAGTTAAGCGGAACGGGTTCATCATTTAACAGAAGCACTATTTCAGATTGCCTCAAGTTCTTGCAGAATCAAAAGGTCAACTTCCGTCCTCCATCTCACACCATTTACTCATGAACTCATTAGGAAAAGAAAAACAAATGCCTTGATTTTAAGCATGTCATGCGTTTGGCTGCAAGTGTAAACTTATGGGGGTATATAAATACATGGGGAAAACCTACATTAGTTCCTATAAGAGATCCAACTGGATCAATATATCCTAGCCTTCATGAGTGTATGATATTTGCATTCTATTTCTGCATGCTACTAGCTAATTTACTGTAGTGGCTTTTTGGTAGTTCCATATCATTTGTATGGCCTTTATATCTACAATGTACACCTTTCCCTTACTTTTTCCCTACTGAACTTTTTTTTCCTGTGTGGCTTATGGCATTTGTGTCACTTATGCTTTGAACTTGTGGCCTATCTGATATATTATAGCCAAATTCGGTGACCTCAGTGCATTCTATTCTTCATCCACCAAGTCTAAGTCTCGCTTATATGCTTATTCTTAATATTATTAATCATTTGTTAGTTACCATTTCATGGTCCATAAGGTAATATACATGCATAATACTATTTAAATATGGGATTTCTCATTGTTTCCTTCTCTTTAAATAAGAGACTAACTTACACTTGAAAGTAGTCAAAAGTACAAGGAAGAAACTAATTTTGTGAAATGCTAATTCCAGGTGAAATTATAAAAGCCAGAAGAAACAAGGCCTGGGAGGGAAGGATCTGTCAAAATATATAATCATTAAGGATGCAACATAACTAAGTTAGGTGAGGTGGTATTACAGTTTTCGATCATCTTGCACCGTTCGATTGAATTATCAATTTATATAAACTCTATAACGCAGTTCATGGCTTTGAGTTTCAGTTATGGGTGAGTGCGTGATTGCCGAGCTAGGATTTAGTATTTATCCATATTGTATCATTTTATTGGTCAGTGATAATCTATTTCATGGCCACTGTAAACTCCATAACTTGATAAGCATTTTCCTTTGGTATGAAGATTGATTGTGCATATATACCATAGAAGCAACTGTTAACGTGTGTGATAAGTATAAGTTAGTTTGCCGATTTACATTTTGTGGCATTTCAATCTGTTGCTTGAGAAGAACTGAAGAAGTCAAACTAGATTGGCTTCTGTGCCCGAGACTTTGCTATTAAGTATTGCTGTCAAAATCCTTTTACAGGGTTTGGGGGAGGATATCCCTTCTAAATCAATCTTGTACTTGCAAACATGTATGATTTCTAGAGGCATTATGAAGTTTGGAAGTAGTACAGGTGGATTACTATTGGATAAACTGTGCGGCTTCCTCGGTTAGTTGTTCTACAGCCTTAGTGCGATTTTCATCAACATTATCCAGTAAATGAAATGCCAACCTGGTATTCTGGACATTTTGCAACATACTAATTGTTATTTGCTTCGTCATTTTACCTATTACCTATGGGTATTGGCTTTGGCAAAGTGTTTTAGTTATCGTAATTATTCGTGGAATGGTTGCTGTTGACAATTTAGTAATGTCAATGTTCAAACTTCAAACCTTATTTCATGAATTATATAATTACTTTTTTGGGAAAATTGCAAGTTTGGTCACTGAGTTAACAAAAAAAATATCATATTTAGTCACTCGAAATATTTAATTCCAATGCTGGACACTCGAATTAGTAAAACGATTCACGTTTAGTCACTCTCAGAGTCTCAGTTAGTCTCCGTTAAGACGATCAGTTAATTGTTTATGTGGTTAACAGTGTTGACTTACCCTGTTCTAATCTGTCACATCGCTAAATCCGACCCGCCACTCAACCCGCCACCTCAGTTTCTATAAAAATAGTTTTGGGATTTTTTCATTAGATGAGTTTTTCACCTCACTCAACAGTCGGCAGGTGAGAGTCGACCCAACCCCACACCTCTTCTCCTTCCTCCTCATAAATCATACACTAGAAATCAACAATCTTAGCTACGTTTGACTGTTGAGGCTCGGCGGACGCTCCAATCTTAAATCCAGATTAATAGAGGTTGATCAGTGGGCGAGGCGACCATGTGCTTCGTCTTCTCCTTCTTCCTTGCGAACCTTAACAATCAACAATGGCTCAGGTCGATTGCCACGGCTCGCCGCCGACCGCTTCATTATATTCCCAAAACCACAGTAGAAGATCAGCGGGCGAGGCAACCGTTCTTTCCCTCATCTCTAATTTGATCTGCAACCAATTCCATCTTCTTCCTCTTCTCCAAATCGAGCATTCCAAATCCAGAGAAGCATGACAGATTGGGCGCTCCAATCCCACTCCAAGACGGTCGGATCTGGGTTCCATTTCTTTTGCAATCCAAGATTTGGGTTCAGTTTCTCGAAGCTCAGGGCCCACAAGAAGAGCAAGCCGGACTTCTTATTTAGGGAGAAGATGGAGAGAAGGGCGTAGCCGACTTCTTATTTTCTGCATCTTTGATGATTGGCGGGTAATAGGGAGGAGAAGATTGAGAGGCGACTGTGGAGGAGGAAGGAGTGGGAAGGAGTGAGAATATTGATTGTGGGGAGAGAGAGAGGAGAGGAAGAGGAAGAGGAGGAATTGGCAGCGGTGGCCGCATAAGTAGTTGGAGTAATAATAGTGGTGGCGGGAGTTGGGTCTCTGATGAAGCCAATTTAGCTGCTGCAATGTTTTTTTTCTTTGGGCCGTTGGCGTTTGTTGGTGGAAAAGAAGGAGAGAAGCGGAACGAGACGATCGCGGAATCAAGACTGACGGTGAGGAATCGGCCCACGTCTGGTCACGGGTTTGGGAAGGCTTGGTTTATGGGTTGGGTTGGGGTAATTGAGGTGTCGGGTTCAATGATGTGGCAGGTCGATTTAGTGATGTGGCGGGTTAAAATAAGATGAGTCGGCACTTATGTTAGCCACATCAGCAATTGACTAACGGTGTACACGGAGACTAACGGAGAGTGATTAAACATGAACCATTTTACTAATTGGAGTGACTAACAGTGAAATTAAATATTTCGAGTGACTAAACATTATACTTTTTGGTAAACTCGGTGACCAAACTTGGAATTTACCCTTACTTTTTAGACTCAAGTCAATGTTGCTTCTTAATAGTTATGCCGACTCAAAGAATTGCAAAATTCCAAGAAAATTGTTGTGCTATATGAATTTATTCGTGTGTCCCGCCATATTTAGAGCTACTGGAAATGATTATTGATTAAGCTACATTCGGCCAACGGGCCGGGTTACAAGCTAGTACATTTTTAATAGCCCAAAAAAAGTATATAATTTGGGCTTCTAGTCAAGGTCAATTTACAGGGCCCAAACATTTAATGGGAAAACGACCCAACGCGGCGGAAAGGCATTACCATTTTCAACCAAAAAGGCGCGTGGTTTATCATCAATGATCTAATCTAATGCATGTGGGTTTGCGGTTCCATGCATTAATAGCATTATAGCAGTCAGACCAAAACTCTAATCTATTGTAAGGCCATGTACATGTGCACATAAAAAGTTTGTACACCCACTCTAACTTGTTAGTTCGATTCACTCTAAATGCATGAAAAAACTGCAATATATCGTTTTGGGTATTAATACGATTTAATCAAGCAGGAATATTGAAAAAAATTCAGATGATTCAATGAAGAAGGTGAGTTTGCAGTTGAGAATCATTTCATTTCCATCTCCCCGTTCCACCGTCCACGTCCCTTCTATTCCATTATCTTCGCACCCATAATCCAAATAAAACACTAAACAGAAACTAATCCCAAAATCTCTTTCCTAACCCTTTCTATTTATCTTCAATCAAATTGCGGCTGCAGATTCGTAAAAATAAAAATAAAAACCAAAAATTGCGGATGCATCTTTGTGGCTTCTACTCGCAGCTGGTGTTTTTAATCGCATCCCTGATTCATTAAATTTGCCATTTATTAGACATGTCCATTTTCTATTTCTTAGTGTTTGATCGACTGATCATTGTCACAACTAAGTCTTTTGTTTTTAATAGACCCATTAGAGTTCGTTTAATTAACTATTTTTATCAATTTCTTAGGATTTTTACGTGATTGTGATGATTTTAAGCTATCATGTACGTTCAGCAAAAATAATTACTACATATTTGGAATGATATATGCTTGGCATTTCAGGTTCAATCTTTTGGCGTGCTTTATTTATTTATTATATATCTTTCTCACAACATAGAAGTTTTTACTTTCCAAATCAGTTGTTAATGAATCAAGTTTGGAAGTAATGAATCAAGTTTTAGGGTTCGTTCCAAATCAGTTGTTACGATTGGATTCTGCGGCATGTATATGGAGTTGTGGACCCAAATCTACCAAACACTATACATAAACCTTATCTCTCTAAACTTAATTGTTACTAACTTATCGGCTGGCTTCGCCGATGTTGTGAGAAGAATTTCACTGAAATCCACAATGAGCTTCCTGCTTCGGCCCTCAATTAAGTTGCTTTCGAAACGTCAAGTCATGGCCGTCGTCAATTCAACGGCAGCATTTATTAGTCCATTCTGGATTACAACCTGTCAAAATGGTTTATAGTTCTTCACTTGACAATGTCATGCCCGATCTTCGCCAACAATAATGAAACCCGCTTCACTACTCCTCATCATTCTTCTGTTACCCTTTTGCACAATCGCGCAGCCGGCGGAATTCCGGTTGATCAGCTGCTCCAACGACGCCGGAAACTACACCGCCGGCAGCACGTACCGGCGAAACCTCGACGCCCTCTTCGCCTCACTCGCCGACGACAGTCGAACCACCACCGGGTTCTACAACCTCTCCTCCGGTCCGCCCGGACCGGACCGGGTCAACGCCATCGCTCTCTGCCGAGGCGACGTGTCACTCAACGACTGCCGCGGCTGCATCGCCGACGCCACGCGTCGGATCCTCGTCGATTGCCCGGTCCAGAAGCAGGCGTTCGGGCACAACGAGTCCTGCCTGATCCGCTACTCGAACCGGTCCATCTACGGTTCGCTCGACCCGAACCCGAAGACCGCTTCCGGGTTTCGGTTCGACCTCGCGCCCGACCCGCTCCGGTTCGATGACGCCGTGGGCAGGTTGTTGATCCGCCTCCGAGATTCCGCGGCGGGAGGGAGCTCCGTGAGGAAATTCGCGACGGGAACGGAGATTTGCGGTTTCCTCACCATCTACGGCCTCGTGCAGTGCTCTCCCGATCTTTCGCGGCGGCTCTGCGACGACTGTCTCACCGGACTCACCAACGGGATCTCCAGCGGGAGGCTCGGAGGGCAGAGCTGGCATCCTAATTGCCAGGTCGGGTACGAGATTTATCGATTTTACGCCGAGACGGAATCGCCGCCGACGCCTCCACCGCCGCCGGCACCGGCAGGTAGGCTTGGGGATGAATTCAGACTTGAGAATCGACATCGAATTTTTGATTTTTTTTTTTAATTGGTACAGCTATTGGGATTCCGATCGTCGTCGCCGCCGTGCTCTGCTCTGTTTCCTTCTTCCTCTGCTGCCGCTTTAGATTGAAGAGGTCGACAATCTCTAACCAGGAGAGTAAGCAATAAAATTCCTATAAAAACTATTTTCGTAATTTGATGGTTGCTATATAATCAATTGTGAATTCTGAAGCCACTGATGAGATCAACGGGGAGGGATTCTCGCAATTCGATTTAAGAACGATCAGACTAATCACAAATGATTTCGCGGGTGAAAGCAAGCTCGGAGAAGGAGGATTTGGAGTTGTTTACAAGGTTTGAATCTCACAAAATGACTCGATCGATAATGTGTTCTCTTGAATTCATGAATTTTGAGTCCACCTCATTCCTTTTTATAGGGTATTTTGCTAAATGGGCAAGAAGTAGCGGTGAAGAGACTCGGAAGAAATTCAAAACAAGGAGATATGGAATTCAAGAACGAAGTGAAGTTGGTGGCTAGGCTTCAACACAGGAATCTAGTTAGACTTTTGGGCTTCTGTTTAGAAAGGGAAGAGAGGCTTCTTGTCTACGAATTCGTCCCTAATGCCAGTCTCGACCATTTTCTCATGGGTATATGAAGTGAAACAATATTTATTAAACTTATTTTCAATTCAATATATGGTTTGTCTTTTTTATGGTTGGACTTTGTTATGAAATGAAATACAGATGCCGACAAACGAATGCATTTGAACTGGGAGACAAGATACAAGATTATCATAGGTATTGCTCGAGGGATGGTCTACCTTCACGAAGACTCTCGACTAAGGATCATCCATCGCGATCTGAAAGCCAGCAACATTTTGTTGGACGCCCAGATGAGCCCCAAGATTTCAGATTTCGGGATAGCCAGATTGTTTGATTTGGACGAGACTCGAGGGAATACCAGCAGAATCATGGGGACTCAGTGAGTATGAAAAGTATTCATATATACAATGATTTATATCCCCCCTAATCCGTGCAGTGCAGGTATATAACGAAATTCGATTGTGGCATCCGTTTCCTTTGACTTTTTCACAGCGGATATATGGCTCCAGAATATACAATTCATGGACAATTTTCAGTAAAGTCCGACGTGTTCAGCTTCGGAGTGCTAGTTTTGGAGATGGTTAGCGGTCATCATAACAGTTATGTTCATGATGGCTCGAGCATGGAGAGCCTCTTAAGTTATGTAAGTGTGTTAAGATTCTATGTTATTACATGTGTGACACATATTAGACAATTTTCTCACACTTTCGCTCAATATAATTTGACTTTTCCTAATCTTATTGGTAATTTCCCCCATAGGCATGGAAGAACTATAGGAACGGGACTTACATCAGCCTCGTTGACCCGTATCTGAGGAACGACGTCGTTTCAGGCGCCGAGATCGCGAGATGCATCAACATCGGGCTGCTGTGCGTGCAGGCGAACGCCGACGACAGGCCGACGATAGCCGCCGTTGCTCTGATGCTGACTAGCCATTACATGACCCTGCCATTGCCTTCCGAGCCGGGTTTCTTCACCGGAGGTGGTTCTTCTTCGTGGGGTTACAGTAGCAGAACTTCGAGGGCGAGATCAGTTACCGACGGTGGCTCCTTTCCTTCTGCTGAGGCTCTTCCTTTGTTGAGCAATGACGTCCCTATATCCGACCTTCCTCGTTGAAACGCGATAGTCATACACTCTGTTCTTAATTTTACTATCATTCATAAATAAATAAACACAAACGTGTTTTGCCTTGTGGTTGATCGTCTCATTTAGGGTGTGCAATATTGTGCAATAGTCCTGTCAGCTCAGGAGAACCGCGGTCCAACAGTAAGAGACTTCTATGGATTAATGATCGAATTAACAGTACATTCGATTTACTTTGATCCGATTCAAATGTCACTTCGGTCCTTTTTTTAGTATTAATAAAATTTGTGAAAATAAGGACCGACCTAGATTATACCCGATTCGATACGATGAGATCCGGTACGGATCGAATCGTTGCACATCCCTAAACTCATCCATGAATTTACTAATATTATGAGAGTCATAACTCATAATAGCTCAATAGTCTTGCCACTAAGCAAAAACTAGATAATGATTATAGCCTTGTGGCCTTCCAAAATGTGGCTCAATTCAAGGAACTAGAAGAAATAATAACAGCCACAAAATGTTTTTTTTTTACAAAAGGTAATCATATATTGATTGAACTAGACATAGAATACATTACACCCTGATATGAACCCATGATAAAAAAAATCAAAGGAACGACACGAGGTCGGTTACAGATAAAGGGCTTTTCTAGCCACCAAATGAACTACCCTGTTGCTATTCAGACATACAAATTGTACAACAAAACCATTACGACGCACCAATAGACATAGGACTTCGATGCCCCCATAGTAACTATCATGCTTGTCTACTTGGGTTATCTTATCAATGACCACATTTGCATCCCCTTCAAAACGAATATGCGAGAAACCAAGATCCATACACCACTGGATGGCTCCCGAAGGACCAAAAGCTCTACCAAGGTTAGATCATCAATATCCTCAACGTACACACCCTCTAACCAATACCACAAATCTACTGAGGTCCTTCAATATTATCCTTCGGCGTGGACCCATTCCTTGTCGCCCCAACCCACATGCAAGTGAACGGTGCAGGATCATCTAGACTCAGTCCATTTGGCGGGGGGGGGGGGGGGGGAGTGGGATCATTCTGTCTGCTGGCAACCTAATCAATTCCTGGAGTTGTTGAAGATACTGTCGTATCAAGGTAGTAATTCAGAATTGCTTACCTTCAAAAGCAACCCAATTCATGGATCTCCAAATCTGCCAGGGACGGCTACAACAAGTATAATTTGGTGGGGTTGAGTGACCAATACTAACAACTTCTTTAGTAACAATGGAAAAGTATGGTGTGGGAGCCCCTGGCCTAGATACTCTAAACCAGAGTAATCCCATAGTGCTCTTGCCATTGGACAACCCAGAAACAAATGTTTCATTGTCTCCAACTCTGCCCAGTAGATCGGACAATGAGGCATTACTTCGACCTTCTTCTCAATGAGAGCCTCTGTAGTCGGAAGGATGCGATGGAATATCTGTTAGAGGAAAATTTTCAGTTTGGGCGGAATTGGTAACCACTACATCTGAATCCAACCGACCATTTGACGCCAACCACCACGCTATCTATCAGTCAAATTTACTAGATGGTAAGTAAACTTCACGGTGAACACCCCATCCCGCGTATCATGCCTGATCAGAGAGTCATTTATATCCATATACGAGGCAGCGAAATCACTTTAATGGCCCGAACCACATCTGGTGGGAACATCTATATGAGTCGCTCGAACTCCACTGACCACCTTGATCAATTTAGATATCGTATCATAAACCAACTAATCATAATAACTCAAATTATTGGAAGAGATCCATGTATAATACTTATCCACTTCCTTACCATTCCAAACCTAATGCGATTCTCAAATGCATCATCCACCATTCCGCTCCTTGGAAACTCGTACTCTTTGAATATTCTACAAGAGAAGAGAAATTTTGTTTCATATAAGGCCAAAAGTTGACTGACTAAAAAACACCTTTGAGGATTTGTGGATGAGAAATTTCAACCACAAACACAAAGGCGGCCCAAACTATCCTCATTGAGTCATTGTTAAAAAGGACAGACACAAGAGTTGGACACACGAACCAGGCCGTCAAATAGTTACAGTCCTTCACTTTGGCAACTTGATGCACATGGCTTCTCTACTAGCACTAATAATGAATCCTCTTCTTCCGGTCATCCTTCTTCTCCTACCTTGCTACACAATCTCGCAGCTCCCGCCGGAGTTCTTCCTCGAATCCTGCCCCAACGACGCCGGAAACTACACCGACGGGAGCACGTACCAGCGAAACCTCAACACCCTCCTCTCCTCACTCACCGCCGCCAACCAAACCACAACCGGGTTCTACAACCTCTCCGCGGGTCATCCGGCCGGACCGGACCGGGTCAACCTCATCGGCCTCTGCCGAGGCGACGTGTCGCTCGACGACTGCCGCGGCTGCTTCGCCAACACGACGGACCGGCTCCTCGAGGACTGCCCGGTCCAGAAGCAGGCATTCGGTCGCTACCACTACAACTGCCAGATCCGCTACTCGAACCGGCCCGTGTACGGTTCGCTCGAGCCGGACCCGCCCAGCCTGTACTTGAGGAACATCAACAACGCGTCCGACCCGGCCCGGTTCGACGACGCCTTGGGCACCTTGCTGACCCGACTCCGAGATTCCGCGGCCGGAGGAAGCTCCGTGAGGAAATTCGCAACGGGAACGCAGCGGCAAGGTTTCGTCACCATCTACGGCCTCGTGCAGTGCTCTCCCGATCTCTCGCGGCAGCTCTGCGACGACTGCCTCATCGATCTCACCAACCGGCTCATCAGCGGCAGAATCGGAGGGCAGATCTGGCAGCCTAGTTGCCACGTGGGGTACGAGATTTTCCGATTTTACGCCGAGGCGGAATCGCCGCAGCCATCGCCGCCGCTGCCAGATCCGGGAGGTAATTAAGATTTGGCTTGTGGAATTAATTTTAATTTGAGAATCGGCATCGAGGTATTGAATCTTTTTATTTCTTGTTAGGCGGAGGAAGAAAGAATACGAGTAGGAGTAGGATTATTGCAGCTATTGTGATCCCGATCGTCATCGGCGCCGCCGTGTTCGGTGGCTTCATTTTCATAATCTTCTGCCGCCGCTGGAGATTGAAGAGGTCGCGAATCCCTAATCAGAGTCAAAGAGACGCGAGTAAGGCTAAGCAATTCCTATCACACAAAAGTTTCAACCAAAAAAACTACTTCCGCAATCGACAAACGTACGGGTACAAAAAGACAAAAAAACATATTCCCAAATCCCAAACATGAAACAACTCAGTATTTACAACTTTCGTGCTGGTAGAATTATCGGTTCAAATGCTGCTCAAAGCTCGAAATGCAATTCGAAATGAATCGAACAAATTAATTAAGAGAAATTATTGCTTAATTCTTTCCTCGATTATCTATTCTCAAATAGATATTTATTCTCAAATATATAAAAAAAAAAAAACAATGCTGAGAGGTGCTCTCTCCTCTCTCCTCATGTTCTGCGTTTGGGTGGGGCGATGGCTGTGGAAGGTTCTCCGGCTCCTCGGTGATACATACCTAAAGCCGGAAGAGGATATTAGCCGGCGGTACTGGGACTGGGACCGACACCCGAAGACAAAACGGACAGAGCCTCCGGCCAGGAGCCACCTCGGGGAACACCGGGAGGGTGTGAATTTGGCGGCTCAGATGAGTTGTCTTCGCGAGATTCACCGACCGGCGCCGGAAAGGGCTAACTGCAAAAGAAAAGAAACAGAGCCCCCGGAATCTGCATCGGCTCAATCGAAGAAAAGAAGGCTTCGGCCGATCCGGGGATGGCGCCTTTGGCTGCCGCCCCCCTCCGCCTTCATGGAACTAGCTCCGGGGCAGGACATATCCAAGAATAAGAAATCGGAACCTCAAGTAAACTGTAAAATTGAAGAACCCCTCGGGGTACAAAGAGATTGTTCGGCGATCCCTTTTGTGGATCAGCACCGGACTGCTTGCGATACGAAAGATCCCTGTGGGGATTCTATGACACCTCCGGCGCCGGGGGAAGGACCGCTTCCTGTGCGAGGCGGCTTCCCACCCCAGAATAGAACCGAGCCTCCGCGGGTTCCTGGACCGGCGGCCGAAAGCGCCCACGATGGGCCAAAAATTTGGAGGAATTCAAAAAATAAAAAAATGAAAACCAACCCTGATCTCTTGGGATTTCTCCATGATTTTTGGGGTGGGAGGATACGGGGTTATAACCGAACGTCCAAATCCAACCGGGAAATAAAGAGTTCTAATCCAACTCTACTTGGACAGATGGGTGGGAGATTGACACGGCTGGGTATATATTCCGTGATGCCCCCAGTTTGCAGAGCCAATTCCCTCTCCACCTTCGTTTCCCGTTGTGAGGACCGTGCTTGTTTTGGGCAGGAGCGGCCTAGGCTACAAATCCAGAATCCCAAGCAAGACACCAATCGTGTTCCAGGTATGAGAATTAACCCCTGTATATCCTGGTCATCCCTCTCTACGGAAGGCGATACTTCAGTGTCACCGCTTCCATTAAGCAACGAGATTCCTTCTGTTGCGTCTTCAAACTTGCGTGTTTTTCAGTACGGGGCTAATTCGTTGCCCCCCCTCCCTTTACAGGATCCTAAGATGACTCGCATTGCTAATGATCAAGTGGTGCAGTTCTCTCTTGAGGAGGTGCAGTCGATGAAGTTTCGAGCCTCTCGTACCCTGCTGGGACGCTTGTTCACTAATTCCAACACCAATCCTGCGGATTTGAAGGAGGCGTTGCTCGTCGCTTGGCAGATCAAGGGACAGCTTCGGGTCTCTATCACGAAGCATGGGCTATTTGAGATAGTGTTGCCAAATACTGAAGCTAGGGGATGGATTCTTAAGCAAACCCCTTGGGTGGTACTAGATGCCATTCTCCATTTGCGGCCGTGGACATCAACAATTACCTTGAATACTTTTGCGGAGCTGGCTATTGCCCCTTTTAGGGTGCAGCTTTGGAATGTGCGAGAGGATTGTTGCACCAAACAATTTGGACAAAAAGTGGCGCAAGGTACCATTGGGCAGGTCCTTGAATCTGGGGTTTTTGCCTCGAATGATACCAATGAACAGTTTGTGAAGGTTCGAGCGCTGATTGACTTCACTAAACCCTTGCGGTCCCAGATCGTGGCAGCCAGTGAAGAAATTGGTAATTTCTGGGTGAATTTGAAATATGAGTACCTTCCGACTCTATGCTTCCATTGTGGTCGTGTTGGGCATTCGAAACGTGCTTGCTCGTTCGACCCTCCGGCTGGGCAAGAGAGGTTCGGGCCGCACATGTCAACACGGAAGA